GGGGGCTGTGAGATTACAGCAGCATCCCTCTCCCCGCAGATCCAGCGGACATCTGGAGCAGCCCTGCCTGGGACTCAAGCCCTCCAGCACCGAGCCCCGCCATCCCCCACAGAGCCAGTCCGGGGATCGCAGCCTGTCTCCCGGCCCCAAGGCGCCTGCGCGGCCCGGTGGTCCTCGCCTTTGGGAGCGGATCTCCATCAGGAGGCTGCTGCGCTCCTGGAGGGGACAGACGCGCTGTGTAAAAAAAAACAAACAAACACGGAAATAAACGCGCTAGATTCTGGGAGGAGGGTGATGGACTGAACCGATCCCGGGTCTGACAGGTTTTGAGGCCCGATGGAAGCTGCGACACATCTGGACTTGACGCGTCTGGAATAAAGAGCCGCGCTCGGCACCGCTGCTTCGGCGATTTTCTCCTCTCCAGTTTGCTTCTTTTGATCTTTGTCTTGCAGACACCTCGAACGGTCCCGATTCGGAGTTTGAGGGAGCAGGCGGATCCCATCCTCCTCTTATTTGGATTAGAGCCCATCAGGATCATGAATCATCCCCCCTCTGCAGCTCTAATCTGGTCTTTATCGAGCTGGATTTAAATCTGAGATCTGATCTGGATTACTGCGCTCCTGGTTCCGATCGGGTCACATCAGACCCGGTCTAAACCGGTTGGCTCCTGGTGTGATCTTGGACTCGATCCTGGTCCCGGTAACTGTTCAGGGGAGTCCCGCTGCCATCATGCCCACGTCCCGGCCTGGTTCGGAGCCGGTGGAGTTCTGGGTGGACGGGTCGAGGCGGGACGGGACGGTGGAGGACTTCTACACCCTGAGCTCCGAGCTGGGCAGGTCTGGACCGCATTATTTTGGGGGTTAAGGGGGAGAACTGGGGAGCCCATATGGACTCTGTGGGTGGAAACCGCCCACATGAAGGTCCATGTGATTCTGCTCAGTCCGGGATTAACTTTGGCTGCTCCTGATAATCCATCCTGCAGTTTACAGGGTAACTCATCTGCAGCAGGAGCCAGTATAACCACAGCTGGATCCAGATGTAGCAGAAAAGTAAAGATGGATGGGGCTGACTATCAGACGCCCACCCCCCTCTAATGATGTTATCAGTTAAAAAACAGGTCATTCCCCTTAAAGCAGCTAAATCGATCCCTCATCACCTGTATTTAAGTATTTTCTGTCATCTGGAACTCCTTCTGGCAGTAAAACAGCAGAAATTAGACCATAACTATTCGTTATATCACCCTGACTGATATTTTATTGATAGGACGAGAAAATCTGCCCAATCCTTGACTGAGCTGAGCATTTCTAATATTTTCTATATATAATAGAAATGTTATACTTATTACAAAACTGTGAAAAAGCACATATTTATGTGGGAATATTTTTATTATATTATTGGTATTCAGAGGTATTCAAAGACAAATATTAAATGTTTCCATCTTTTTGTGGGTCCATTTTAGTCACATTTACTAACTGGTCTTGTGGGGGGATATCTCAATATTTCATTGTGATTCTGATTTTAAACATATTCATTGTTTTCATTGTATGTACATATCTTTAAAATATTTGATGAACATTTTTCAACCCAATTTAAGGGACATCATAATTTTATTTTGGGGTATTGTACCATCCCCCTCCCAGATATTCAAAAACGTAATGATTCAGCAAAAAATATATAAATCTTTTCATTTTTTCATATTATGAGGACCTTGATTTACTTATTAATTGACTTGATTGCTTATGTTAAAAGTGCAATAGGCTTGTACTTTGCTGTAATAAATCCAAAAGAATAATAACGATAAAACTGATATTCTCTTGGATCTCTACAAAAAAACATTTTATAATATTGCATTAATTCACACATTTGTGGCATTTTTGTTGGCTTCACCACATCTACTTGGCTGTTCTGACAATGATTGTCTACTTAAAAAAAAAACAACAATATTTCCACAAATCCCGCCCTTAATCGAAATTTGATCTGCTATAAACATTTATTATGTTTGCGGAACAAATGACAGACATTGAAGGAGGGGTTACAGTGTCATCAGAAGCAGGATGACTATTTGTTTTTGAAGGGGTGGATGAAAAAAACAGAACAATTCAATCTGATAAGTTCAGCCTGATAATTTCTATCCAAATGGAGGTAAATTAAGTTGATTAAGCAGATATGTGTATTAAATCAGATATGCTTTGTAGTTCAGCTGCATTCAAGAGGAAATATTCAAAATGGGATGGAAAGGTTCAGTTCTGAGTACCATTACCATCACCACAATGGAAAAATACTCCACTAAAGGCCTTTAATTGTTCTCTTTGGCTGATACTTTAGATTAATGCTCCTGAGTCAGCTTCAGTAGCGTTTCCCTTTATGAGTCATTAGTATTAGTTCAGTCCACTGCCTCCAGCCTCAGGGCTGATTGTGATTAGAGGAGGGAGGGTTAATGGGAGAGAAAATAGGAAAAACAGAGTTCTGACAAATAAAACTGCCCTTAGGTTGAGACATTTCTCTGATTTTACAGTCTAACTAAGATTGTGCATCTTAAAGTGAATCTCTGCTCTGAGCTCCTTCATTCTCCAGCACAGCCTGAACCCTCTCCAACCAGCTCTGGGTCCTTTCTTTAAGGAGTCTTCAGGAATAGTTCTCCAGGCTTCTTGAAGGACATCCCAAAGCTCTTCTTTGGATGTGGGCTGCCTTTTGTTCCGTTTTCTGTCAGATGATCCACACTGCTTCAATAATGTGGAGCTCCAGCTCTGGGGAGGATTCATCCCTCCATCAGACCTGCTGCCACTGATTTTCAGTCCACTTCTTGTGTCACTGGGCAGAGCTCAGCCATTTCTACCGGTTTCCCTTCCTTAAGAATGGCTTCTGGCCAGCCTCCCTTCATGGAGAACATTTCTGATGAGGCTTGGTCCAACAGGAGATGATCAGCTGAAGGTCCAGATGCATCTCTCAGCTCCTGTCAGCTCTTTGCCGGATTCTTTCCTCTTTCTTAAGGACGTCACTTTCAGATCTTTTTCATCTGCTGTAGATCGTGTTTTAGGCCCAACACTTTTTCATTCATCCTCCACTTGTCCAGTTTCCCAAAATGTTTTAAGGACACACTGCCCACCATGCTGAGACATGCCAAGTTTTCAGCTAAAATCTCTTTGGAAATCAATTGGTTGCTCCCTTTAAAAATCCTGTTTTCTGTCAAATAGTGTTATCGTTTACATTTTTCACACATCTGCTAAAGCAAAGGGAACAAATGCGATGTGTTTGTAACAGGCTGCTGGTAACAAGGAGCCTAAAGATCCAATTTAAACTGCGTCTTTGCTAAGTTGTCTGTTCTGTGTGGAGAAAACACTGGCTCATCCCATTAGTTAGGGGCCTTTTTTTCTGCCAGAATGATTCATAGCTCAGTAACAAATAAAACAAATTAGAAGGTGAAAGGGGTGGAAATTAGTAAAGAAAAAAAAAGGTTTCGATAAAACATCAAGAAAATATGCTGGTATAATGTCATATTTGGCAAATTGTGCAGGCGCTCTGCCTTCTCTGTCTTGGTGCTTCCAGTTTGATGTTCATGGTCGGCGTAAATATGAAACTGGGCTGAAACTAGGACAGCTTAGCCATCGCAGAGCCTTTTTTCTGAAGTATTTCATGTGCTTTGTTTACTGTTTGCTGTCATGGCGCCCTGTCTCAGTGTGTTTGCGCCTGTTGTTTGTTTGCATCTTGGTAAACGAGAAATGATAAACTGATGTCGACGACAGTTACCGTGAGAGCACGCCACCGCCGCAAGCCCTGTTACCAGGTGTCCTGTTTCCATGGAGACCAACCAGGACTCTGTACTAGTGTGTGCGTCCTTGCCTTTGAGAGGGATCTGTTTTCTCCATCTGTCCCAGCAGAATACCAGATCCCCTCCAATAAAAACCCAAACGCCTCACCCTTTCATCCTCTATCAGTGGACTCTTACTGACTTTGATTCAACAAAGTTTTCCTGCAAGAATTTAATGATTTTTCATAATTGGTGGGTTTAATTCTTCTTATCCATCCCATCCACTTTACAAGGAAAAAGTCCTTGTTTACTTCTCTTAACCCCACAGTTCATCTGATGAGCTCATCAGTGTGTAATTGTGTGTATGATCCAGAAAAATACTTGAAAATGGTGTTGAATAGGAAAGTCTGCAACAGTTTGGTTAGTTAACCATTCACAGATCAGTTCAATGCACAACAGATGACAGACCAGTTCCAGCAAATTAGAATGAATCTAATCCTAATCCAGTTTGAAGAGTTTAATCCCATATAAATCCAATTTAAAATAAAAGTTTCCTTAAACTGCATAGGGACTCTGATGCCATTATGTCAAGTTTTGGTGGATTTTTCTCTGAGTTTTCTGTGTTGTTTTTTTCTTTAAACATTTGTAGTGTTTTTTAAATTTATTTCTCAGTTCCCTCCATGTTCCTTCCTTATTTTCTGGTTATTAGTGTTTGGTTTGTTCTTTTTGTTATCTCTGAGTAAACCTTTGTGAGAGACAAGTTGGATAATCTCACAGCTGGCTAAAGTCAGACCACATCTCGATCACGCCAGGATTTCTTTTGGACTTAGAAAAATAGATCACTTTATTCATCGCCTGAGGAAAATCAGATCATAAGCAGTACTCAGATTAACTCTGGTCTTCTTCACTTACAGGGGGGCAACATCTGTTGTGTACCGCTGTGAGGAACAGCAGACCCAGAAACCCTACGCTGTCAAAGTCCTCAAGAAAACGGTGAGTGATCCTGCATGTTGGTGGAGCGCTAGCTAAAAGACCAACTCAGAGTCCTCTTTATTTGCAGTAAGGAGCACCAGGATAGACAGGTCCAAAGCCCGGTGAACCAAAGGTTGGGGTAGATCTGCTCCAAAGCTTTGTAGTAATTTTAGCAGGTTCTCAAGTCGTGGTTCCTTATTTTATGAGGCTTTCATAAATCTGAGGAGTGAAGAAGGCTTTCGGGTTCCATATTTTGGCTGATAAGGGTAATTACCTGCCAGTACTGCCCATTGACTAATGCTTGTTTTGCAGATCGACAAGAAAATAGTTCGCACTGAAATCGGTGTCCTGCTGCGTCTTTCCCATCCAAACATTGTAAGTATCCTTGTTCTTAAACAGAATAGAGGGCAAATAAAACATTTTTAAAAGAAATGTGGTTCTGCTAATCTAGGTATGCAACAATGGATTACCGAAAATGGAAGATAATTTGAGACATGTGTCATATCTGCAGAGATCCAGGTCAGGTCTCAAAAGTTTAAAGGAAGGCCCCAATCAAGAAGAGTAGATCACATAAACTCTCCAATATTTTGAGAACTGGTCTGACTTTTTGGAATACTTGCCTTGCTTTTATCCTGCTCTTTTGATGATTCGTCTCTCAAGTCTGAAGAAGTTCTGTTCCATGTAATGTCTTAAGTACAGGATGAAGTGAAAAATCTTAGAGGAATATTCCAATACTTGTATAAGATATTTCAAGTTTTGGGAGGTATAGAGTTTAACTATAGAAATGTAAAACTGCAGAGCAACAACAGAGCCAGGATGAACATAAAACATTATATACACTATCAGATTTCAAATAAAGTATAAATAGATAGCACATGAAGAGATAGTACAGAGATTAGAACATTGTGCAGTGATCAGCCTAATTAGGGGTGTGTTCTATTATCTGCCAGCTGCAGGAAAGGAAATGTATGTTGGTGTAGATTTCATTCTCCCGGATCATTGTAAGGAGATCTGTGGAGCTTAGGGAACACGCCCAAATGATGCTTCTACTGTTCGTGCTTCGATCCAAGTCATCCGTTTCGGGGAAACTTAGCAAGAGCATTCAGAAAACTGCTGGAACTGTTTGAAAATATCCCTGACTTTGTGGTGAGCTTGTGCTTCGCTGCCTCGTTTGACCCGTATTGATCTCTTTAACTTTGCATTTAACCTCTAAAAAAAGACCACTCAGCAAATTACATGAAAACAATCCCTTTGCGGCTAAAAAGGCCACAAATGTAACACGATCTTTGCTTCATCTAACATTGCTGCTCTGTGCTATACAGTAAGAACTTCTAACATTGTTGGAAGTCAGCGGGGGAATTTGCAATGGTAGACTGAGTCCTGACCGCAGCCTGATGGCTCACAGAGTGAGCTGAGCTCCTCAAACCCCCAAATCCATTTTCCTTCCAGACGTGGCCCCATTAAAATGGGATGAACAGTATTTTCAATGATTTAACATTCATCGTCAAGGAGCTTTATCGCAACCAAAAAATCTAAATCACAACCTCCCCCCTAAAAAAAGAAAATAAATTGAGGCTGAAATGCTCAGCTTTGATTTGCTTGGCTTAAATAGCTGAAGACACGAGTTTCACAGTAAAAAAAAAAAAAAGAAGGAAACATATGGCCATGCTAACAAGGACCTGTTAAGGTTGCTCTGGATTGTTGCCAAGGTGTTGCTTTGTGGTTGCTTTAGAAATGTGAGGTGTGATGAGTTATTTCTGGTTTCTGTAGTTACAGTTTCCTCACTTCTCCCTCTGTGACTCACAGATGCAGCAACTCAGAGTGAACGATTAATAGCCATGTTGAGGAAAGCAAAGGTGGAGGCTTGTGTATGAGACATAAATGCTTTTTCTATTCTGTTTCATTGCTCCAAAATGCTTCACTACCATTCAGTGCATTACAACCTGAACAGTTCCAGTCTATTTTCCGTCCCCGTCACAGTTCTGAAACAGCAATCCTGAAAACCACCAATGATCTTCTAATGGCAGCCGACTCAGATTTACTTTCTATTCTCACTCTTCTGGATCTCACTCCATCCTTAACATATTGTCTTTAATTTGCTTTTTTCACACCCCCTTTGACTGGTTTCAGTCTTCCCTCTGTAGTCGCACTCAGTTAATTCCGCTTAAGTCCCTCAGCCCCTATCCGTCTCGTCACAGCCGGTGTGCCCCAGGACTCTGTCCTGAGACCCCTAATCTTTATCATCTACCTTCCTCCCCCTGGCAACATTGATCTAAAATTCAACATTCATTTTCACTGCTATGCGAAGGCACCCAGCTCTGTTTATTTAGTCAGAAAAACTACCCTCCCTCCCTCATCCCCCACCTCTTGCTTATCAGAAATGGGGGACCGAGGGCATTTCTGCATGTAGTTTGCACATTCTCCCTGCGTCCGCGCCCAAAAAAATGCGTGTTGTCATAAATGTGAGTGTGTGTGGTTGTTTGTCTCTGTGTGCCCCTGTGATGAACTGGCGACCAGTCCAGGCTGTGCCCCGCCTCTCGCCCAATGCCAGCCCAACCCTACTAGCAATGAGTGGTATGGACAGTGGATGGATGGATCTTCTTATCAATACCCAAACCCTTTCATTTCATCAGATCACCCAGGTTTACAGCAGCTTCACTGGCTCCTGATAATTTCAGAATAAAGCTTACATTTCTTCTATATACACTCAAGGATACCCACAAAGGTCCTATGATCATGTCTCAGGGGGAAAAGAACGCAAACGCTTCCACTAAGTGATACCCGTTTCTATTTTGGGTTCAGATCCAGCTGAAGGAGATCTTTGAGACGGACACGGACATCGCCTTGGTGTTGGAGTTGGTGACCGGAGGAGAGCTGTTTGACCGGTAAGGCCACAGCTTCATGTCGCAGCAACGAGTTTAGTTGCTCCTTTTTCTCATGATTTCTGCTCTTCACAAAGTTACAGAAGTTACCCTGTTAGTGGCAGATGTTGCTGTTGAGTTAGTTGGCTTATCTGCAGAAACTTAGATGATTGGTTGCATAAATTGACGTGTTTCATTGCATGCTTTTCTCCAGTTTAGTTGTGGTATTTGCCATTTTGAGAGTAAGATGTTTTTGCCTTCTTGGCGGTTTGTTCAAATAATTCCCTGTTGAAGTTTCAGGTGTTGCTAAAGTCACAGATCGCATTGACATGTTAAGTTGCCACTATTTTTGTTGATTTATGTTTGCTTTTTAATTGCCATGTTATGTTGTCAGTGTTGTAGTTTTTTTCGGCTTCAAAAACTTGTATCCTTTATTTCAGTTTCCATTTGTCGTTGCAAGTGTTACTGCCTTTGTGGTGGTTGGTTTGGTTGCAAAAAAAAATCTGTTTGGTGTTTCAACACTTTTAATGGCTGCTTTAGTTTCAGAAGTTTCCACGCTGAGTCACAGACACTGGTGTTGCTTTGGTGGCGAGTTTCAGGTGTTGATAAGTCAATGGTGAGCAGTTTACACTCTAGTTCAATGTTGCTGTTGGAGATGTTGGTGTAGTGCAGAAGCTGGTATGATTAGTTGTTGTTCTTTTAAAGGTTTGTCAAGCAGTGGGCTTTTTTATGTTTTGGGGTTTGTGCTGTCATTGCTGCTGAGTTTAATAAAGATAAAACAACCTTATTAAGTCCTGTTTTGTTTGTTGTTCTTGTGTTGTGGCTAATTTTGGCTCCGCTTTTGCTTCCAGGATCGTGGAACGTGGCTACTACAGCGAGAGGGATGCAGCTCATGTCATCAAACAGATCCTGGAGGCTGTGGCAGTAAGTTGCTGCCTTCACTGTCCATTACAGTTGACTATTACACAAAATGAAGAAATAATTTAGCTTTTCCAGGATATTTGAAGAAATTTGATGACGAGAAAGGATAACAGATGAAAAAGTTCCATATTCATAAAAACTTGATCATTATAATGGCTAAACACAAGGCAGACTCATAAAGGCCATGTCAGGAACTGCAGCTATTCATTGCCCAGCACTCATCTGCAATTCTCTTTGGTTGCATCAGGGTGAAGTTGCTACCATTCCAGTTGCTGATGCTGCTCCTCCAATTGGTTTGATTTAAATCGCAGCTCTTACTTGCAGTTATTAGGTTACTTGCAGTCTTTGCTGTGTTCTGTTGCAAGTGATGTTTAGGTGCAGTAGTTGCTCCATGCACAGAAGTTGTCATTGCTGTGGTTGCCATAGTTTAGCTGCCTATGCTGGGATAGGATGTTACTGTCTTCAGTTTCAGTTGCCTCAATCCTTGAGGTGGTTGGTTTAGTTGCTGATCCTGCTGTGTGGCGTCATTGCTAGTGTTGCCCTAAATAGTTTGTTTGAGCACCTTAAGTTGTCATGTTTAGTTTCCAGAATCTGGATGTTTCCGGGGTTTCTGGTTTGGAGCAGTAAGCTCCATCTTTGCTGTTCAGCCCCACCGAGTCTGTTCAGTGTTTAACTGTTCACACAAAACGTCTGCTTTAAACTGGCTGTTTTTAGATGTGAGAGGTGTCATAACTCCTGCAGGTCGTCGGCTTCTCAATGTGAGTGTGACTGAAACACTTTGTCAACACTTCAGAGGTGTTGAAGGTGGATTTTCTCCTTTTCATGTCGCCAGTTTCCAGCCCGCACTTTGTGATAATCTGGATGCTGATATCCATCTGAGTAACAGGAGGATCTGGTGTGTCATCAGCAGCCGTTCAGGAGCAGAATCCTCTTCCCTGTATGTAAGGAGTCCTCCCCCAGCCGATTAGTCACAGTCTCCTGTTTCTAAACAGATTTAATGAAACGTTAAAATGGCACAAAATTGCATTTCAAGGTTGGCATGCAGCGGTTAATAAAAAGCAGGCAGCCCAGAGACAGAAAAATCTGTAATGATGATAATAAGTGTGAGCTTGAGGGGAAAACATCTTCTGATGATCAGCAGGAGCTTTTTTATTGCTTCTGTTGTTAAATCAATAATCATAGCAGGAAAAACCACCCTGTATGTGGTTCTGAATGTTGTTTTTTTGTCAGTCGTCAATACACTCTGTTCATTTCGCCTTTATCCAAAGGGATTAGGTAGGAAAAAAGAGATTTAACAGGAGAGTCGAATTGAAAATAAACAGTTTTAGCATCAGAAAGAGGTGAAAGATGAGTGTAGTCAGTGGTTAGTTTGTTCTGAGGAGGAAACTCTGGTAGACCCGGTTGGTCATTCCACCAGGAGAGGGAAGGAGCCGAGGGGGAACCTGCTTCTGAGTGTGAGCTCTGAGGGATTTGGGAGCAGACCCAGAGGTCCCTTTGTGGGCTGCACCTGTTTGTTAGGAGGTCCTTTATGAAGTCTGTTAGTATGTCTCTTAGGAGGTCCTATATGAGGTCTGTTAAGAGGTCTGTGAGGAGGTCTCTTCGGAGATTCTCTGTGTGCTGAATATGATGATTTTTGTGCTTCACAGCTATGTGCTTTTTCTTTAGTATTGTTATGTAAACCACTTAAAGCCACAGAAACTGCATGAAAAGTGCTTTAAAATGAACCGGGGATGGATTGATTGATAGAGAAAGCCTTTACATTTTCCTTAACTGCCACAGCATCAAAATCTGAAAACAGGAACTAAAAATGGCCCTTTAAAATGGCTAAAAGGGCTGTTTTAAGTGCAGTTTGTCGAGTTGCAGCTGTTTTTGGCAGCAGAGTTGCTCCACATGTCCACGGCTCTTATGTAACAGCAGCTTCCATCCTGCTGCTGAACAGATTAAAACCACAGGATTAACAAACAAACACTGACCACAGCTGACCTACATTTAACCAGCAGAAAAACATACGCCTGTTTCTGCGTGCGTGCGCTCGGATTACAGCCGGATTGTGTTTGTCGTGTCCGGCATGTTAATCTGCAGACATGCTGCATACCCTGAACATACAGCATGTTTTCACAGCAATTTTTCAGCCACTGGGCCTGCTTTTAGACAGAAGAGAAGAAGAATTCTCAGAAAACACGTGTTTTTAGTCCACTGTTGACACGCTTTAGCAACATCAGAGCAGCAGACAGGCGTGATGCAGATAATGAGGTTAAGTGGCAGCAGGTTAGTGGAATAATCAGCACAAAGTGGGTTCAACACAACATAAATTCAGTAATTTCTGGATCATTTTGGGGGATTTCATCATTAATAAACACAGAGTTTGATTGGTCCTCCCACAGGACTGTTCCAACCCCCAGTTCACCTAAAATGAGGTCAGACCCAGAGAGGATGGCAGAGTTCCTAGATCTTTTTTTAAACATTTTTGATGGTTTTCTATTTGCGTGCTTCAGTTTTCAGTGATTCATTTTGTGTTTTACTCTATTCAAACAAAGAATGAACTCCATTTGAACTGTTGATGAGTTTGTTAGCAGCAGGAGTGTCTAAAATCACAATTTCAGCTTTTTCTGGTTTATATATTGACAAATTTACAAATGGAAAGCAGCTCAAATCACTGCTTTTTAGGCTTGTTCTGATGACTTGCTCTTGGTTGTTGCCCCTCACTTCTCCACCCTGGGCCCATCTGTTAGCACACAGCTTCTCAGTTCCTTCAGCCCATCCTGCCAAATCCTCCTCAGAGCCCTCCTGCTCACCTGTTTGATGTTTGTTTGTCATGTTGCATTTGTTACTCTGCAGAGGTGTAACTTTTTGGACAAATTGAAGCTGTCAGAGTAGTTTTAACATTAGATTTTTACTTTAATTTCAGTTAAAGAAGAACAAAGTATTTTATCTGAAATCATCTGAAAGCTGTTTGTTTCCATTTTTATTGCGGTCACATGACCACACACACAAAGAACAGTGCTCATAGACTAAAATGGAGGAAAAACTCAAGAGACAGAAGAGGCTGAACACCCTGTTCTCACATTCAGTCCCATGTTTCCCTTCATTTCACCCTCCTGTTGTCTCTGTTCCTGCAGATAATGAGTCTGAACTGTGGTTTTCTTCATCTAATTGGCTGAAAATTACATGGGTGGTTCATACTCTGCTCTTTTTAAACTGTGATAATACATCAACATATGAGCCTCTAATCCAATCTATAGTCAAAGGAATTCAGAATTCCTGCTGTTTCCCTGATGAGGCATCATCTCCTGTAGATGAGCTCCCTTATACCAGAGATAACAGATATAAGTGGAAATATATGTCAATATATAATATAGAAAGATTTAGGGATAATTTTATACTTTTTACTTAATACAGACAGAGCTTTATTAGAGGTTTAATCTATAGTTTAGTCGCTAAATGGTATTGTCATATTTTCATCCTATTTGAGGTCCTATTTCATCCTATTTGAGGTCATTCATCTCTTGGTTGTTAAGTAATTTTTTGCATGAAAATGTTTTATTTAAACTGATTAAATGTATTGTTATGAACTCACAAACTGTGGTTTTGGCTAGTTTTTACACCTCTGGTTAACCTGAGTTGTGTATTCTGATCCTCAGATCTAATTTAGCTGCTGCTTTAGTTGTTTAATCCTTTCCTTCTTAGTACTTTTTGGTGTGTTTCTTTTACATTTATGAAGGATTGAGTAGACTATAAAAAAAACTATGTCCAGCGAACATCAGGAGATTTCACAGTTTCTCTCTTTCTGTTGCAGTATTTACACGAGAATGGTGTCGTTCACCGTGACCTCAAACCAGAGAACCTGCTGTACGCTGACCTGTCGCTGGACGCTCCGCTGAAGATAGGTACACATCCCCCGCTCCTTTACGGGACCTTTAACCCTCAAGAGTTAGCTCCAGTGCCATTCCTCGCTTTATCTGAGAACCAAAAAGAGACCTCCATCAGAACCAGGTTAAAGTTAATAACAACAAGAATTCAAAGAGAGCAGAGGGAGGAGAGGTGCATCATGGGAGAAAGCAAAGAGCACTGCTGGGAGAATATCCAACTGTGAGCTCTTAGATAATGTTCATAGTTTTTTTTCGGAATATTTTACTTAAAAGCTTTAAAAGCTTATATTTCTGAGTTACAGTCCTCTTAAATACTCATCATGGTGCCTTTTTTCAGTCCCTCTGAGGAACAGAATCGCCTCCAAAATCAGTCGAAACTTGTCCCATTCTGTGTTTTTCGGCTCATTATTTGCGGAGAAGCCTCGCTGCATCCAGATGGCCGATGAGCCCCCAGCTAACAGCCACAGATGGAGGAGCGAGAGCCCTCTCCGCCAACACCTTCCGTCGGTTCGCAGAGCCTCCTGCAGAGAAACACATTCTCTTCCACCTCCAGAGATTCACCCCCTCAAAAGTCCCAAAATAGAAAGTTTAAAGCAGCTCTCATCTCAGTGCAACCCAGAGGAAAACTTCAGCGCTGAGCGGTTCTCCTTAGAAGCTCGGGATGCAAAAAGCAATCCTCATACCAGTCTGGTTTTAGGTTCTGTCTCATGTGGCCTAAAATTCACCTGCTGACTTAAAACAGGAGCCGTTCTTTGGACTTAAAGGAGACACCTTCCCTTTGCTTTTAAAGTCTCCTTGTTATGTCCATCAGAGAGGAGAATAAGCTGTAAAGGAGGCACAAAGCAGAGAGAAAAAGCCTGTAAACTTATATCCAAAGCAATTTAATAGGATACAGAGACAAAGAGGCAACTTTGGGTCGCTCCAGGACACTTTGAGCTGCAGCCTGGCGTCGAACCAGCGACCTTTTCCAGGTGTTTTTTCCACTGATAACTGTGAAGCTGCTTTTAATCATGCTGACTGATGCTGCTCAATTATAGATGATGAGTAACTGATCATATCATACATACAATTAATTAATTTAAGATGCAACTGCCTTTATAAGCATATATAAAGATATAATCGTTAATGTTATTCAACAATTGAGATCAATGCATTTATTGAGCATAAATGATAATACATGATTCTAAACAGGCTACCAGAGACTTCAGGGAAGTTCTTGAGGCTAATAAAAGCATCTCCTTGTGTTGATTGGTCAAAGTTTTTTATCCTTACATCATTAAGGACTTCAGTTTGAATTTGTAAGCTGTAGAATACAAATCATTTAGCTTTTTGTTTTAAAATAAGACGCTGTAGAATGAGTTCATGACGAGATCTCTTTGATTTCTTTCTGTGAACCATAAAGAGGCATAAAAAGTTTTAAAAATCTGAGAATTATTACTGACATGCCTAAGTTGGGCCTTTGTCTCAGAAAGATATGCAACATTTTTCCTCTTCCTCCGGGTAGTAAAGAAATGTTTTCCTCTCCCACAGCCGACTTTGGTCTTTCCAAGATCATCGATGACCAGGTGACCATGAAAACGGTGTGCGGCACCCCAGGGTACTGTGGTGAGTACAGTAAGCCTAATAGTGTAGGGAAATGTCAAATTAAGACATGTCACCAATAGAAAGAGCCGTACCAGGAGAATACTGCTTACTTTGAGTTAATTTGGGGTTAATTTGTGCATTCTTGTGTCCATTGTGTGTCTCCGGTATCGTTTTGCCTCTTAGTGGTTATCATAGTTACTCTCTTTGTGGTGTTTTTGTAATAGTTTAAATTTTTTTCTTTTTGTCGATTTATTTAATCTGTTTTCTAAGTTTTGTGTCAGTGTTTTAGCATTTTCAGCGAATAAGGATTTCAAATCTCCCCAAATTCCAGCCAACTCTGAGAAGTCAGAAATGCGTCAAGCAGAACTTTCAACCACTGAGGAGCAATCTATTCGTTTCAGGAGTGACAGCAAAGAAATGAAATCTTAATCAGAAATAATCAGTTCTTTTCCATTTTAGTAATAACAGGATATTTTAAAATGCATTACTAACAACATCTAGAACTATTCTATTTTTGTGTTAAAATATCATGTTCTGCTTAAGGGGAACATACAGAGCTGCTCATTTCAGGCCCAAACCTCACAAAGGGGCTGGGGGGGCAGTGTGTATTTCACTTTTCTTTGTTGTGTGGTTCTGCTCCGTGACCCGGTTCTTAGGGCCCTCTGTTACACGGGGGCAGCACCAGCCGTATGTTGTGTTTTATTGTGCGTTCACCTGTGTGATCCGGAGGTGGCTCGCGATGCGTTCACTGCACCAGCCGCGCCGTGAGCTTTCGCAGACCTCCCGGTCGGAGCTTCTGTCGGCCATCTGGCAGCTAACTGAGTCCTCTGCCCGCAGCTCCAGAGATCCTGCGGGGAAATGCCTACGGCCCCGAGGTGGACATGTGGTCGGTGGGCGTCATCCTCTACATCCTGTGAGTCCGTTACACTGATCTGCCAGCCCCAGTGTCTCAGCGCACGCACACACACACACACACACACACACCAAACTGATTCATTATGACTCATTCCCGTCAGTGCAGATTTCTCATCTAAGTTTCATGCTCTTCCGTCTGTCTCATAACAGCCATTAAAGGCGGTGACACCATGTGAACCACCGCATCCCTCCTCTCTCTGTCCTCGTAGAATAATTGGAGGTTAATGGTGCCTTTAAATGGGTTTCATGCAGCATTAGGCTGTCATCGAGGCATAATTGACTTTTTCCTCTCATCTTCTTTAGTTTTGGCTCCTTCTCTAAAGACTTTAAGACTCAATTACTGAATAATTATTGATTATTAGCAATGCCGGGATCATTTGTGTCACTGCTAATGTTGGATAGATGAACGGAAGCTGTGTGATTAATCTCAGCCTCACTTCCTGTTTGCAAGACTCTGTGGGTTTGAGCCCTTCTTTGACCCGAGGGGGGACCAGTACATGTACAGCCGCATCCTAAACTGCGACTACGAGTTTGTGTCTCCGTGGTGGGATGAGGTCTCCCTCAATGCAAAGGATCTGGTGAGTTTTTTCACTGGCCTGGTGCCTCTGAATAACACTAAACTAAAACGCTTAAAGGAGTCCCTCTCCAAACATTCAGTCTTCACATGTGTGTTCAAAGTTGTATCTAAAAGTTTTTTTACCCCCACAAAAAGAATGAAACTGACTTAATCTACTTTATATCTGCTATGTTTTGCTCACTGTTGTGGTAGTTATAATATTTAGTGACATATCGGTATAATTTGACATTGTTTTTGCTTCTGTTCCGTGGGGACAACCTTGACTAACCCACAAACAGAACTGCGTAAAACCGGTCCAGCCCTCATTTTAGGATATTTTCAGACTTTCTCGTAGTCTTTCAAACTGTTTTTTTCGTTTTTGTTGGCTGCTTTTTTGCTTATTTTTTTGTAGATTGTGTTATTTTTCTGCTGAGCCCCTAACTCAAGGGATGAATCTTCTTCGTTAGGATGCGGGATTAAATGAAGTCTGAAAATAGAAAGAAATGACGGGTTGGATCCGTAGTGGATGACTTAGGTCCTTTAGACCCACTGAGACACATACTAAGAATTGGAAAAATGATGGAATAACTTTTCGGCTTGCATTTTAGAAGGCTGTTGTCCACTTTCAGGTCAGCAAGCTGATTGTCCTTGACCCTCACAAGCGCCTCAGTGTCCGGGAGGCCCTTCAGCACCCCTGGGTTCTCGGTAAAGCTGCCCGGTTCTCCCACATGGACACCACCCAGAGGAAACTGCAGGAGTTCAACGCTCGACGCAAACTTAAGGTTTGCCACTGATTGCTTAAACACCAAAGGGTTCATTTCCAAACAGCAGCTTCTAGACTCCAGAAGTAGGCCACCGCGTACATAGATTCAAAGCCACTCTGAACGGGGGTAGAGCTCAGTAGTAGCCTCGCAGCGTTGGCTGAGCCGCTCCGTGTCCTTTTTGTGTGGACAGGCTGCCATGAAGGCCGTCGTGGCCACCAGTCGGATGCACGAGGGTTCGCGGCGCCGCACCGACAGCTGCGAGATCCCAGGATCCGGGACTTCCCGGCAGAGCAGCATGCAGCAGGACCTGCCTCCCGAGTCCACAGAGCCCGGCCCTAAAGACCAGGACGACCTGCCTCAAGACCAGCAGGCGCCGCAACACGCCGACTCCAAACCTGCCGACCAAAGTGCCACCAACACCTCCCCCCCACGCAGCCCCAACCCGCCCGGCTCTGAGGCCACGCCCACGGGGCCAGCTCTGGTCAGACCGCCGCTGCGAGCCGACGGGCTCCGGCAGGCCTCCGTCATCCCCAAAACAATGCTGGTCCAACCCCGGCTGCCGCAGAAGAGCTGCTCCGTCATAGAGCATGCCCCCCGGGTGGAGGCCGCGGCCCCTCTGGGCTCGCCCCGGAGTCCAGCCAACCTCAGCAATGGCTTCACGGCCGGAGCAGAGCCCGCCAGCAAGACCGCCCACTGCCAGTGAGACGCTCCCCACCGAGTCAGCTTCATGCCACCACAAACACATCATCGTCCAACCGGGAGCAATAGTCTCCGCAACCTTCCTGCCAACATTTCGCCATTTTCACCAAAAAACTCTGTGTTCTGTAGCTCAGCTTTTTGGCAAACATGCCAGCAGAGGTGCCCACTGGCTCATTCGGGATGTTTCAGGCTGGAATGGATAAACCTAGGAGCAGGGTTAAGGGAAAGATAGGTTAAAAAAGGCTTTCCTGAACTGTAAAAGGTGAAAAGCAGACCTAGCGTGGCAGCATGAATGTAGTGCTGGAGATCAGCAGAACAGGCTCTCTGTTTGGGGCAGTTTGGGTCCTTAACGGCACAACTGGATGGGTAGTTCATCGCTTTTCACTCGCTGCCTCGGTTGTACTCAGAGACCCATTGAATTCCTGTAAAAAGATGTGTATCAGAGCATGCTAGTCTTTTAAAGTATATTTTCCTTTTACAGATATCGCTATTGTCCAGACTAGATAAAAACGCAGATAGCAGGCATTTGAATTTTAGTATGGTTCTTCCTGTTAAAAGTCCAGTGAGCTTTCCTCTTGTCTGGGACTTGTTTCCATCCTGGGAACTCTTCCAGGTCTGGACTGACTGCAAACATTTCTGGGTGTAAGTTTTTGATCTATGTGGGCCAAGTGTGGTGCTTAAATTTGGCTGTAAATCCTAAATTTTGGGTTTGGTTTGATGTTTACTGGCACTTTAAAGGGAGAGTTCAGCATTTTGTCACCCATTTTAACTATATGTATTAACTGTGAGACGTTCACTCTCATGTGTAGGCTCACTTAAGAGCTGGAGTCAAAGTGGGATTAATCTAGTGAACAAAGGCCCAAGGCAAGCTTTCAGTGTTTTGTAGGTGTTGGGGGGCATTTCCTGTGTTAGTAGGTGAAATTCAGCTCCAAACTGAACAACCATGAGACTGAAATCAGGGTATTTTCCCCAAAATGCTGAACGTTTCCTTTAGGTCTTGGTCCGCAAAAGAGATTTCTTCCTTCTCACCTGCTTCTTCTCCAACAAGAAGGTGAACTCTTCCTCGAATGCTCAGGACGGAGCAGACTGTTTACTTCTCCTTACACTTTAATTCATCTGCATGAAGGACGGGGACTGAGCAGTGTTGTCTCTTTTTGGGGGGGGGTTCTGCTTCTTCTTCTTCTTCTGCATCCCTTTCAGTTTCAGAGCATGCTCTCTCAGACTTTTAATGTTGCTGAGAAACTCGGAGGAGAAACTGGAGATTTCTGCTTCTTGAATTTTTTTTATTTTTAATCCTTTCTACTTTTTACTGTTGACACCTGCAGACTTGATTCCGCAGCTGTGTGACTAGATTGTGTAGCTCCAGTTTATAGCGGTCTGGTAAGTAACTTGTGTTTGTGAGCTTTGTAAAGCGTTGTGTTGTTTACACTTTATTATCAGCGATGATGCTCTCCTATTTGGACTGTACATACTGTAGTTTGGTTTTAAGGCAAGTTATGACTGGCATCTATTTTTTTTGGCACTGAGACATTCAGTGTTCAAACCCCCTAAAACAATCAATTTAACCTTTTGTTGGAAATCAAATCTTTTCATCTGATCTGAAACCACACGCTCTACCTCTTTTTGTACAGGGGCTTCCAAAATGAAATAAATGCATGCAGGATGCTCTGGAGAGAAAATGCTGAGATGAGACAGAGGACCCAAAATGATACCAGATTTCTTCATGTACGGTGGCCAAGACAGTCCAAACAAAACTTTAATTTGAGTTTACTCTTGTCATGTTTTGTCCAAATGACAAATTACCTTTCAAAAATGTATATCGACATAAGCTGCACATCAGATTCGCTTACATCCTCTTGTTTGTATGGTAAAAACTCCTTTTTAGTCTGTCAGTTAGTAGCTCTAAAATGGAAATATTTATTACAGCACAACATGTTTGTTGCTTATATATTCCTGTCTTAACCCGAGTTTGATCGTCCACTAAGAGGTAGACTTCACAGTCGAACAGTTACAACAATGGAGCCATTTCCTGACATGAATTTATGATTAAAAAACATGTTCCTTGACTAACAGCTGTTTCCTTTATATAAACATGAACCACCTATCAATGTTGAAGTTATTAAAGTGTTTCTGACATATTTTACCAAGAATATATTCTGCATATTGGGCAGAAAAAGGGTGCCTCCTCTATCCTGAGACATTTGAGGTATATTGTTTGCTCACAAAGTATTACTTTACAAGAATGGGCTGAAAACATGTTATACGTTTTTCTTTTTGCCAGGTAGGAAAAAAATTGCTCCTCATGTCTTAAGACCTCCTATTACTATTATAATATCGATAAAGATTACTTTACAAACATGAACAGTACATAAACAGTAGCTAGCTAACTAGCTATCTGAGGTAGTTTGCTAGCTAGCACACTCCATGGCTGTTAGCTCCACTGCATGCTGTGTCTCCTATAAAATAAATAAAGACTGAAAATAAATACAGGAAATGAAATATAGATGTTACACAAACATTGTTGAGTGTCAAATTAGGCTAATTTAGACTAATTTTGTCTTAAGAAATTATGGCAAAATCGACATTCTGTTTATTTCCCCCTTTCTCTCCTGGTTGGTGCTAATTGTGAACATTAACCTCCACTATAGGATCATTCCTGATATAATTCGGTTTTGTTTTTAAGAAAATACACACATCGGTATTAAGAGAGGAAAAGGACCGAAATGAAGCTTAAACATTACTATTTTTTTAATCTATTCTAGTTTTCATTGCTTTACTACTGCAATACCTAGCTATTTATTAAAAACACTTGAGTTTAGAAAAAAACTTGATAAATCCTTTAATTTCATTCATGGTTTCAGATTCTCCCCACTTGATACAGCCTCTCTCCACCCTCAACACAATGAAAAACCTTTAAACGATTTACTTTAATCTTACCTTTCAGCTAAACCCTCCTGCTGATTTCAAGTTGTTTATGTTTGATTGGCGATCTTACATTTTTCTCATATTGCTGCAGTTTTGTTCTGTCTGAGCCACTGTACAAAACCCTTGATTGTGGAGGAAAACCAACTTATACTTTAAGGGCTTTTTAATTTAAAGTGGAACTTTTCCCGAACACCTGCAGAACTCCCTGTATAAAGATTACAGATATAAAGATTCAGATTACAACTATCCTTCCTAAAATAAGCCAAAAGGAGCCACAATATGTTCAGCGGCATAGCAGTGTCAGGAAAATCCAACGATGTAGAAACCAAAGCAGAGCTGGTGAGGTAAAAATGACAATTTTCAGTTGAAATTATGGAAATTATCAAGTAAAATTGATCCAAAAGACATCAGATGACTTATGTCTGAGACCCTTCATTCTTCTCTAATTGGGCATATTTATGTTGTATCACAAATCAAAGAATCTTGTCAACTTAACGTGAAATCTGGATGCAACAAAATGCCACTCTCTGCCTATCTATAAACAAAACTTACGCAGCAACTGGGAAATTCTTTTAGAAATAACCAGGATGATGACGATGGGAACACGCAAAGTCGACCTCAGCTCCAAAAGCTGAAGTCTGCTCCTTTGAAGGTCATTTATTAACACCAGAAAACATAATATATTAAATTTCTTTATGTACCTGATTAAAGGTCCACCCTGGCATAATTTAATAAAACAGTATAAAGAAAAACAATGGTCGCCGAATAAATTAGACAGAAAATATATTTGAAAAATAATCACCGGCCATTTCAACAATTGGTTTATTTTTTATGATGTTTAAAAAGCATCTATTCATCTTTGATGAGAAGGATCTGATTGGTGGTTTGGGCTGTCATTGGCAGGAGGTATGACTTTACCAACATACTGGATCAGACACTGTTTTGTGATTTGGTTCCTCTCAAAGTCTTCTGTTAGGCTTGTGTGTGCACCTGAACGCAGGTGTCTGGAACTTCTTGCCAAATGAAACACTGGACAACTTCCTGTCATGGTAAAAGTATGTAAGTGTACATTAGATGAACACCTATACTCTTCTTTAAAAACATGAATATTTTGCTTCTATTTATCTCGGGGTGTTTGTGGTGGGTGGGACTAAACTGTAAACACTGTTTGTTTTGTGTTTGATGGGTAAACTTGTACCTTTTTTTCAAAATTCTGGATGACACAAGTATAAGGTGGCATCGTTACAGTGGCAGCTGTTGCCCGTGTATCATTGCATGTATTATTTAACTTCCTTTGGTCATATCTGATTAAAACTAAGCACAGAGGCTGAATCCTGCAAGACTCTGTGGCAGCAGCTCATCTGATCTGGGTTCAGCCAGGATGCTTCAGGCAGGATTTTGCATCACATGTACAGTAAAGGATAGCTGGTAGACATCGTTCTTTGTTTCTTGTGTTTTTTCCTAATGCACAAACGCATTAAATTAATTTTTTATTTTGTTATTTTATTAACTATCAGGTATAAGCAAGAAACTGTACAGACACTGTAAAATACATACAAAGTATTTTCCAATGGAACTTTCAACATTTTAATTAAAACAGAAATTATTCAAATTCACAGGAGATTACAATCATGATTTAATACAAAAAGTAATTTATTATCAGGTTTTTACCCAAACACGTCTACTTAAATGAATCAGGATTTTATGCTAATTCAATTATTTTACATACAGATGATTTATGGCCAGATATTTTTTTCATAATATTAGTTTTCATAGAAAAAGATAGAAACTTTTTTTTAAATCATGATTTCTCACAAAAACGTATTTATTATCAAGTATCAATCATAATGAAAATTTGATGTTTCTTTAAATTCATCATGATTTTATCTTATTTCGAAATTTCTTCTGCCCTTAACTGTAGAAATGTAAACCTTTATGGAGCATGAGCAGTCCACAGCCTTCTCTGGGAGAGGTTTAGGCCTCTGGTCAGTCCTCTGAGCAGAGTTTCTCTCTGTACTCCCTTCCATCCTGGACTGTCCCACACCAGTATGTGGACGTGGCCTCCCAGTCTTCGGGCGACACCTCCCACACTGAGGTAGTGCTGTAGCCTCCCTCTGACGCTGTCCACTGGCCCTGAACGCCCGCTGATGGCAGCAGCGTGTCATCGACCCACCACAGTACGCACTGCCCGGGCGACTTTAGTCCATCCACAATGCAAACAAGGAAACGGGGAGCTTCAGGGTCCTCAGAGAACCGGGCTGAGGATAGAATCTGAACAGATGGACCCGTGGGAGACCTGAGAGAACCTGAGGACAAAAGGAATAATAACGATGCTGTTAGTTTTTAAGCTTTTCATCAAATGAGGAGAAACGGCTTTTTAGATAATTTCCCATTTTTAAAAGAAATCCTCGCTTTAAAGCTAAACTAGCAGAGTAATCAGTCCAAATCAGGTCTGTGGCATTCCTCAGGGTACTGTCCTCAGCCCAGTCTCTGTGATGGTTTGGAGCATCTTATACCTCTGGTTTTATTCTGATGTGGATGAAGGGCATCATCTTCATCACATTCAGCTGTGTCCTGACCGATGCCTACATGGAGGTGAGTTCCAGGGCTGAAAACCATCGAGAATGAGACAGAATGTCCACTGGGCGATGAGCCAACCGCCCAACACCTTCAGCACCATGGAACAAATCATTAATATCAGAAAAGCACAGGTAAATCAAACAATTTACTTTCTCTGTGTTGTCTTACCCCAGGAGGATGATAAAGGTCAGTCCTGAGTCCATTCTGAAGCTTTCTTCTGTAATACAAGCAAATTACCTGCTGCTTTAAGTTAATTAAATCAATATTGATTACTATTAATTAATTACTTTTACTTCAATACAGATCTTAAATAACTAAAAAAAGAGTTACCAGAGATTTTCAGAAGAAGAATAAGAAGTAACCTGATCCTTTGTGATTCAACTTTTTTCACAATGAATGATAAGCACTTTAAAACATTTTTTACAACTACATCAGGTCCTACTGATTGTTCTTGAACAATTTGCTTTTATCATTTAACTTTAACAAGCAGTAAAAGTAAATAAATACTATCCTATTCAAGAGTTTTTATGTAAAATTCTGTTTTTGTCAGGAGTCAAATGTGTAATATTGGCTAATATTGTTTTATTTTTACCTTGTAAGTGAGCTGCTGGTCGGACTCCTGCAGATCTCCTGTGAGTCGACGTTCATCTCGAGTGAACTCAGGAAACTTTTTCTTCATCTGGACAACAGAAACACAAGAAACTGTTGGAGCAGAACCAAACGGTCTCCAGAGGAGACAAACTGCTCTGGGATCAAACCAACCGTTGGCTCCGTCCGTTGGTGAAAAACAGGAAATTTTCTCTGAAATGTTGTTGTCTGTTGGAACCAAAATATGAATTCTGTATGACATCCAAAGTGCAAAAACGCTGTTTCTGTGTGTTTCTGATGTCACCTTTAAATGTATCACATAAAACAGATACATTTCTGAGTGAAATCTAAATACATTCAACTGTCTGTTTCCACTCTTTAGTCTTTTGGAAGAACTTTTTCTTTTTCTTTGGCTCTTTAACAAAATGTAACAAAAATAAACAATCACTTGTCATTCTGATTTCTTCATTTTTCAGCAAATGCAATATTTTTTCTACTAATATTAATAGTATTAGATAACAGGTAACAAAAAAAATATTCTATATTCTATAACATCTTCAAGTAAAGTCTTGGCTGTATAATGATGAAATAGGTTTCAGGTCTCTGATTCTCCACTGAAAAGGTTTGGTCTCAGACCAAAGAACCAGATGACGTAAAACAATTGTAATGTGCTTTATAGAATATTTAAAGGATATAAGGATATTTTACTTATAAATGACTGGGACAAATTATTATATTCAAATTAAACATTGTCGTTAGCGATGGTGTTGATTTCTTAAAAACTGAGTCTCAGAAGCTTTGCTCATTCATTGTTTTGTCAAAATAACAGAAAAGAAGAAGAAAGGGAAAAACAACCCCCCGCCACAAAAAAAGAATTAGCCTTTGAATCTGTTGATAAGATGTTTTATTTTAAGAAAACAAAAAAGCTGGCATCCTGAATTGATCCGCATGCGCAGAAGATGTGTCATCACAGTACTGAATTTACGGAGATGAAAGCACATCGATTTATTTCTGTGTCATCCAAGGCAACAAAGAGGGAAGTTATGATTGTTTACTTGTTTTTTATATTTAATGTTTCTAATAGAAATAACCCTTTTATGTCTTTTTTGGACTAAACCAATCTGCTAGAATCGATTTGAGCCATAGGCAGACCATTAGATGAATAGGAAAACGCCTCCTGGATAATGAATGGATTTGGCCGTAGAGGAGTTGTGGTGACAGAGGGTACTGCACACTGTAAGGCAGAAAAGAGCTGCAAAATATTTCTGTAAATGAAATGAGGATTTCAATGGTTTAAAAAGGAAGATTCACACACACATGAAGAAGCGATTAAACCATTTAAAAAGTTCCATATTGTTATCAATTATATTGTTTTAAAGCAGGAAGCCACTCCAACTAATTATTTATCATTTAGAATGTTAATTTAAACAACAGAAAAACGCTGTATCTGGGAAACATTTTCAAAGTTTCTAACAAGATGAATGACAATTATCTGGGTGATATTGGTCTCTAGTTAAATGGAAACTAAAGCGTTTTATGACTAAACAAATGGTATAGAGGCACTATTTCATTGAGTAGAATGCGTTTTCGTCTGGATTTAAAAAAAATGCACAAACATTTGTCCACGTGGAGCAAACAGAGAAGAAAAACAGCTCAAAAAGCAAAAAAGGTTCAATTTATTGATCCGTTCCAACAGGCTGAAGACTGAGTTGACATAACTCCTCTGATGGTGAATCACAGCTTGCAAAGCAAATAATCACAAAACCTTAAATGCAACTGGAATAGCCTGTCCACTCTGCCCTACAGGACAGTAGTTTTAAGGCTCGGGGAGGGCCCACAGGCTCTCTTTGGCCCGGTCCGAGCCCCGGCTGACCCCGCAGTAATACACGGCTGAGTCTGTCCTCTCAGAGCCTCTCAGCAGCAGCGAGCCGTCGGCTGAGGCCGAAACCTTCTGGCGAGGAATGCCGGCGCCGTACTTCAGCCTGGACGCGTCCCTGGACACGATGCTCAGGAGCATCACGGGGCCCTGGCCGGCAGCCTTCCTGTACCAGCTGATGGTAGGAGGGCCGCCCGGTTCTGCCGTGGGGGTGGGGGTTGTGGCGTTGGAGGCCTCCAGAAGGGGGCACTGCAGGGTCACATCCTCCCCGACCCTCACCTGGACCGTGGAGACGGGCAGAGCCGCAGCCTGCCGCTGGAAACCTTACACACAGCAACAGTGACGTAGAGGAGTTGTTCTGGATTTAGATTCATTTAAAAAAAGGCAAAGGTTTGACTGATAAACATATACTTTTAGAGGCCCTGAAAGGTACGCTTACTTTCCCATTTAGGAACAATATCAGGACCTTTGAGGGAATCACCTCAGAGAAGGGTTTTTGGACCCCTAATGGTGCAATTAGGTGCTTTTTTTCCCTGAGACTGAGGCTCAAGTGTGTGTTAATGGGTCTCCACTCTAATCCATCCCAAAGGTGTGTCTAAATATATTCTGTTTTCGTCCACACCTAACCCACTCACCATGTCTTTATGGACAACATTTTTGGATCTTACTGGAACATTTAAAGAGATTTTCTAGCCTAAAATCCTCTCATGTTGGGAGTAAATGTTTGGAAATAGAAGGGAGGATTTATTATATCACTAAAAAAGGAGAAGACTCACCGCTGAGAGCGAGGACGACCACACAGATCCGGACAGATGCCATCTCCGAGTGTCAGAGGAAACTGATCCGGCTGCTGTTTTTGCTCTTCAAACCGGCCGAGCGTGTCCTGCAGAACACCTACCCATCAACAACATGTGCAGGGGCTGCTTCTCCTGGTTCTGGTCCCACGGCTCATTATCATTTCCCTTTCATGCTTAAGTCTTGGTTTTGTGCTCGTGTTTCGGATCAGTTCTTCTGTTCCGTTTGACTTTTCAGTCCTCTGATCGACTCTGTTTCCTCTTCTTTGTCGTTGCCTCTAGATGTCCTCAGTCATCCTGACTTTGGACCTTGGTCTCACATTCAATTCTCCGGTCATTCATGTCATTTGGGTGATCATTTTTAGTTACTTTACCCCATGACTTTAGTGTCAGTCAGGTTGTTCCATCTGGTTTGTTTAATTCTTTTCTAATTATTTTCTGTGCGGACGGTTCAAGTGCTGTCTCCTCTTCCTTATTTGTATCATTCCTGTTTTGAAATAACTAAAACACTTCTTTCTCTATGACAAAAAAAGACAAATAAAGAATGATTTATGGCTTTAGCTCCTTAGGCCTTTGACACATGCTTTAAACAAAGACAAGCAGCTGGCTGGAGGACTTCAGAGTCAGAACCTTATCAGGGACGCTTCAAACAGAAGCAGGATGCTGGGATGTGGATGATTCAGAGGCTCCTGGACGGAGTTCTGCATGTTTACAGTGATGGTGTTTGGCCGTTTCCAGGACGCTCTGCCTCCAAACTACCAAGAGGGGGAGGAGTGGGGTGAGTGGGCGTGGCCGTGTGGGGCGGGGCGTGGCGGATGGCTGCGAGCTGGCAGCGGGTCGGGACACACAGAGAGCCTCTCCTGAGGCGAACTCTCTGTCTTATCTTCTGTTTCTGTTTCTGTTTCTCGCTGAGTTTCGTTTCGGCTCCCTCTCAGAGTGAGAGTTCACGCAGGTTCACCGCCGAGGGGGGCTCTGACACAGAATGCCTCAGTGTGCGCCGCGCAAACACACACTTTCCACACAAATGAAACTTTCCATGAACTCTGTGTGTGTGCTCAGCTCTGCTGCTGGAACTTTCCTGTTGATCCTCTCTGGGCTCCATAACAGGAACATGCAGGGGGGGGAAAGGGGATGAGGCTTGGGGTGGGGTGGGGTTGGGTAACGGCTGACAGAGGGTGAGGCAGGAGGAGGAGGGTGTTCCTCCTCCTCCTCCTCCTCCTCCTCCTCCGCCTCCTGCCTCTCTGCCCTGCCTGAAAGGAAACCTCAGCTCAGTTTGATCTGAGAGGCTGCGCAGCTCCTCGCGTTTATCCAGCTCAGGTGTTCACTCATGGCGGCCGCCTCCAAGAGCTCCCAAAGGGCAAAGAACGTGGTCATCGGGGTGTTGGCGCTCTGGTCCATCGTCGCTCTCGTCACCATCGTGGTGTGGGCCACGTCTCCGGACCTGAAGGGCTCGGCCCAGTGCCGGGCCGAGCTGCGGGACCTGACGGAGAAGCTGGAGGGGGCCAAGGTGGTGTTCCAAAAGGACAAGGAGGCCCTGGAGCGGCATGTGGAGGAGGCAAGGGAGGAGCAGGACAACCTGAGAGGAGAGATCAAGGTGCTGCTGGGGCGCATCAACCAAACCAACGCCACTCTGGAGGAGTGCCGGCAGGAGAGCGTGAGTCCAGCTCAGACAGTTACTCTGAACAGAAAAGTCTCTGTCTCTGGAGGTTCAGGGAGGCAGAAGTGTTTGTGTCCAGAGTTTGAGGGAGTCAGAGAAGCTGGAAAGTCCTGTCAGAGACACTAACTGTGCATGTTTTCCCTTATAGATAGTTAGACTCTTCATACTTGACTCAGATTCTGAGATTGCTGTGATTTCAGTGGTTCAGTAAACAGCCTAACTGAATTACTTGTCTCCGCTTGACTTCAACTGAAACTTCAATAGACGAAATCATCATAAGTCCTAATGAATCTCACCTGTTTTGTCTTTTAACAACTATGGGGTGCTGACTTATACAGAGAAGACTGGCTATTGGCTGTTTTTTGTCCAAATGATCCCACATTATTTTTGCAGAAGAGATTTGTGATTTGTCAGACCTTTTACAGACCAAAGTTAATGCTCAGAATTGATTTTTTATCCAGTCATATGAAGGAAATTGTTGTTCATGTCAGTTCGATGAGCAGCAGGCACCTGTATGGAAGGCTGAGAGCGTTGGTGTAAAAGCTGGCTGGGTTTGAACTGGACGAGAAGATAAATTATCACATTCTCTTGAATTGGCCTTCATATTGTTTCGGTTTACATGTCTGCTGTATCTATATTTAACCAGACCAGTGAAGGCCGGTGCTGTCAGTACCCACTCTGGCTTCTTTTGTATCCGTTTAACTGGGAAAGAATCGTCCCAAGCCACTGAACCAAACAGGTTGTGAAAAGGTTCTAGGCTATAATGTGGACCATTGAGAGAGACAGGGGTTTGACCATGTGGAGCCTCTCTCTCGGATCCAAACAGAGCAGGGATTTTTCTCTTTAAGAGCTCTTCCCTCTTTTTTCCACACTATTTTTCATTCAGGGAGGTTAGATTTGTTTGCCCTCCTCGGCACTCTGAAGACATTTTCCCTCCCAATGCGTGGAGCGTTTAAACTGAGCAGTTTAGCTGCTCCCGGTGTTTCCCAGCCTCGTATTCTGGGAGCTGCTGGTTGGAAAAAGTGAGTTTTTCCCTCCTCTTGTGGTGTTCCTGACTCATTCCTCCTCCTCCCTTTCTCCTTCACCTCTGCTCCACTAGCCCCCCCCTCTACTGCTTCCTTACTTTTTCCTCACTCTGCCTCCTTCCCTGCTGACTCATCTGCTGAAAATGTCAGTATTTAGAAGACATTTGGCATTGATGCCAAACAAAACTGGATAGTGGACTTTTTATATCTGGAGGCAGCAATGGGCTTATTTCCTGCTACAAAACTCCGATCTTCCTGTCATTTCTGGACCTAGGACTCTTTTCATCAGTATTTTTTCTTCTCTGTACACTGACTGTGTACCTGTGAAAATCAGCAATCGAGCCCTGACCTGATTCAGTCCACGTTCAGATGAGAATGCTCCAGGTGACCTCAGGCCAGTCCAGAGCAGCTCTGACGTCCTGCAGTTTAACTGTTAGAGTGCTGCTCTCACAAGGCCAAAGACCTGCAGCTCTGCTGATAACTGAGCAGTGCCTTCGTTATTTTCTGCACAAAAGATACGGGAAAAAAATCAACTTCAGCCGTTCAAACGAGAAAAGAGAGAGATAACCAAGAGCTTCTATTTGGTCTCTGAGTTGTTTTGGTTGTTTTCATTTGGTGTCAGATGTATGTCAAATGCCTCCCCAGAGCACTTTAAAGCACCACAAAGGCTCCAATTTAAGAAAAAAATAACCAAATTCATTCCTATGTATTCACAATCAAATACAGACAGAACCTATTGAAAAAGTCCCCGGCAGACAGCTCTGAACAATCTTTTTGGGCCGCCTGGGGGCTGAGAGGACTGGAAAGAGGGCCCAACCCCAACCAGCACCATGACATGAGGAGAGGTGCACAGAAACAGAAACTTAAGGAAACAGAAACTAAAACATTTCCAATCCTGACTTTACTGGAAGAGTTTAAGCTTATTCATCCAGTAAAAATCTGATGCCTAAATCAGCGATTATATCATTATTTCCCTATTTAAGCTTCTAATCTGACCTTTAAATGACTTTAACGCTGAATTAACAGCTCCAGCCTCGGCATAGTTCTCAGAATTGAAAAGCCTTGTAACAACCAGGAGGTGTGTGTGGCCGGAAGAAAACAGGAGATTTGTTATCATCAGAAAAGCACCAAAACAGCACAAGTTAGCTCTTTGCTTCCTGTCAGCTTCCTGTTCAGTTTGGGGCTGTTCGAAAAATCATGCCTTGCCATTTCAGCCCTTTCAGGTGGAGCGTGAGGTCATTTCTGTCCTCCCTGTCCCGCTCTCTGTGCTCCCAGCTGTGAAATGCCCAGGCAGCCCGTGATATTTACAGGCGCTGTGTGATATGTGGAAGGTTTTAGGTTGGCGTGCTGCTGCTGATTTACATGAAAGACGATTAGATTTTTGGCGGAATATCTGCAGAGCCACCAGCTTAGTGGGTGGATTTCACCTGAACACCAGACGCAGACCTGCAGATCTCTGCATCAGAAACCGCAGATTGAGAGAGTTGGTAGAAAGGAACCGCACCTGTGGATGTTGATCAGCTTCTGTGTGCACATAAGCAACGCTTTCCTCTGAGTCACTTCCTGCTGAACAGCCACATTTCTGTCATGCCTATTGTTTTCAGTATTTATTAATTTCATTTTGGCTGCTTGTGCACAGTTTTTGCCACTTTTTATAGATTATCTTCACTACCAGAAAAGAAAGCACCTAATTGCACATCTAGGGGTCTATAGACTTGACCTCAAAGGTCCTGCTGAGGGGGTACAAATATCAGCCTTGGGGTTTAGTTAGTAACCAGTTAGTGTCCCTACATGGCACATAATTGTAGAAAGCCCCTCAGGAGACATTCATTTACTCCTGTTGTGCAGCGTTTTAACAGACACAGAAAACTAGTACACCTCAAGTGCCTTCTTACAGAATCATTATGCTCTAATGTCCATTGTGGTCCTCATGAGTAAAAGGCTCCAAAAACTTTATTGACAAATTGAAACCTACAGCACAAAGATGACAACATAGATCAAGCTTTGCAGTAGAAAACGGAAATGAAAAGGGGAAACCGTTTAAAGCGGTCTGAACCCCCTGACCAATGAGAGTTAGAGTTATTCTCTGATCATCTAACTGTCTGAAAGCTGTTAAAGCTTCCAGGGAGGAGCTGGAAGTTGCTACGTGAGTCCCTCCGCCTCAAATCAAAGGTAGCTCCCTCTTCTCGTCTCTAAAACACCTGTCTCATCCGTCCAGATGTGGATGTTACTGTCTCCACTGTGTCCCCTCTCCGTCAGGTGGAGGTGATCTGCTGAGTTATTGGCTGTTGGGTCTCTCCTCCATAGAGGTTCTCCCACAGTGGGAGGAAGCAGCCTCTGTCTGAGGAGTTTAAAGTGATTAAATATATATTTAAATGTTACACAGATAGATCAGGAATAAAATGGAGGAAAAAGGGGAAGTTTGAAAAATGTCTTCCCTGCATCAACAAGGGAAATGTGAGATCACTGGTGGATGAAATGGACGAGGTTGGAGTCCTGATGTGGAGACCTCTGATGGCTCCTACCACACCTCCCTGTATGATAGACTAAAGTTGTTTCACTGTCATTAGCTGATTTTCTAATGAATTCTATTAAAAGGCTTCCTGGGTTTCTACGATCTGAGCAGTCCTGATTGAAAATGAAGGCCATTAGAAGCACAATCACATCTGTTTTTGTTTCATATCTTGGAATAACAGTGTAGATAGTCACAGCCAGACATTTAAAAGCAGTAAAGGCAGCTACACGATCTTAACGAATAGGAAACCTGTGGACTGAGGTGATGACATGTTAGAATGTTCCAGTTAATGTGGCAACATTTTGTACCCAGATCAGCTACAGACTGAGGGAACAATGTTAGTCGGGCTCATGGTGACGTCACTGGGAGACAGGCCTCTGCACAGCGTTGGTTCTGTTATCAGCCCGATCCAAGTCTGCTGTGTTATTGGAGGCCTCTCAGGACGGAGACATTTGTTCGGTCGGACTGTTCCTTTAAGAGCCAATCTAACTATAACTCTGCATTCAGTGAAAGGAATGTTTCCAAAAGGCGCCCTGGTTCCAGTCACCAGCCTGGCTCCTACTCAACAATCCAAAAGGACCAAAAAAGCTAAAAATCTTTTAATTCAAGATGGCCCAATATGCAAACACCAACTCGCCTCTCAGGACCTTGACTTCATGTCTGATCTCAAAAGCTAAAGACATGTTAGTTAATTATTTGACTCTCTTTGGCACAGTTCTGTTAATCTCTGGAGGTGAAAACCTTGTAGTGGTCCAATACTTCAGTGTAGTCGTTTGAGCCCCCTATAAGGGGATGGGAGAGGGAACTTTGGGACCAGATGGAAACATTTTCTTTGAATCTAGTCAAAGGAAGGTTTTGACTAAGTGGAATGACTCAGAGGTGCCTGAGTGGCAGCTACATCAGCCATCAGTCAGATTTTTTCTGATATTCTTAATAAATTAGCTGCTTTCCTTGAGTGTCTCCTTCCGGGTTGGATTGGGCTGATTATTCCCATCCCATCATACAGACCGGTGTTAATTTGAGTGATCATCTGGGCAGGATTTCAAGTTGGAGTTGTTTTTTTTTATGCTTTATATCCTATATTAGCTCGATATAAGGATGATCTGAGAGGACAGAAAATGGGGAGTCAATAGGAAGGCTAATGTTGTCCATTTGACTCAATTAGCTGTGAAGTTTGCTTAAAAGCTTGTAACCATTAAGAATCTCTTTCATGAGCATTCAGGCCAATATTTCAGCAGAAAAACCTAAAAATCCAAGACTCCATGTTTAACTTTGCTCCTGTGAATCCTGTTGAATCCGTTGGGATTCCGCAGCGGAATAACTGGGGTGTGTTTGATTCATCCTCCTAGGTCGTCCTGCGTGGGAACATCAGCGCTCTGCAGCTGGACGTGGAGCAGCTGAGGCAGACGGAGGCCAACCTCACGGCTCAGCTGGGCCTGCAGGAAGGTGAGGCCGTAGGAAAAAACTCCATCACCGCCATGGAAGGAGGCCCTCTGTAGCCGGTTTTATTTTTAGCTGCTTTCCCCTCACCCCGTCACCATGCCAACCCCCGAGAGTCAGCGTATACAAATCCTCAATAAACGACCCGAATGCCAAAGTCAAATGGCGTGAACGAATCAGACACAAATATGATAAGGCAGATGTTTCCAGACGTGTAAGGAGGGGGACTACGAGGATTTTAAACTGAAACTTACAGAGAGGGATTTAGAATCAGGAGGTGTAGGTGGATCCTCCTCAGAAAGAGGAAGAAAACACGGAGGGAGGAACAGGAAGAGGGAAATAACCCAACTGAGGGAAACTGGAGAAAACCTAAAGGAAACACAGGAAATAAAGCAGGAAGAGCTGTGCAGCGGGTTGCTCCGGGTTGCCTCTGAGCTGAGCTGCTGTTCAGTTGCTGTTTGAGCCTCTTGTTGCAGGAGTTGCTGTTTTGTTGCAGTAGTTGCCCTGTTGGTCTTAAAGTGTCGTATTGGCAGTATAGCTGCTGTTAAAGTGTGTTGTTGCTGTTGTAGTTGCTGTTTAAGCGTCTTATTGATGATTCGTTTGCTATTTTAGGTGTCTTGTTGGTGTTGCAAACACAGGATGTGGAACTAAAGTTGCTTTCCATAAAGGAACGCCAACAGGAGCAACGACTTCCTCTCTGCTCTGATTGGCCGGTTGCCTTCGAGCTGGATTATGCATTTAGCCAGCAGGTGGCAGAAAGGTGGCAGAACCCTGACAGGATTGGTCTCCTCTGTGTCCATCTTTCTAAAGAGTTTAGGGACTCCGTTTCTACTTCGAAGCTTTCTCTGCTAAATATCTCGCTATCGGTGGTTTGTGGAGTGAGACAGATGACAATACAGGCTGACTGAAGAGAGGTGGAACCAGAAGAAGTGAGTCAGAGCAAGGAACAGTGGCCTAATGGGACACTGAATGAAGGTGACTTCCTGTGTAGGGCAGAGGGAGGGAAGCCATAAATTCCTGTATGGTGCAGATAGGAAAGGATCATTGTGTTGGTTCTCTGATAAACATCACTCTCGGTTTTATGCGAACAGCTCCGCCGTGCACAAACATCCGACTTACTGAGGAGCATAGTGATACCTTAAACCGTACAAAATCCTTTTAAAGTTGTGAAAGAATGAGAAGGCATAAGTCCTTAACTTTGACCCGCTGGAAAGAGCCGGCCCCTCTTTATTCTTCAGAGATTTGGCTCCGCTGGAAACACAAGGAATGATCTCACGGCTTCAGAATCAAATCAAGTTGTTGAATCTGATCCAGAATCAGCATAAAAACACGAGCTGGCAGCGCGGATCATTCCCGACATAACAGGCCGTGATAAGACGGATCTTTCCTTATAAGTCTGGAACAGACCCTGAAACTGAACTGTTACAGGCTCCAGAACGGACCCAGAACCAACTGGTGACAGAGAGCCTGAAGGACACGCTGTGAGATATAAGGAGGGCTGGGAACAGAGTGACCTGCTGGTTAATGAATAAAGAGAATAAACAAAGGACAGATCTGAGCAAGTTTCCAAAAAGGTTTCAACTAAGGCTTAAACACTATGAGTTGTTTTCCACAGTGGAACGCTATCTGATTGGCTGTTACGCGTTCAGAGTCTTGTTGCTGCTTTAGTTGCAGTTTCAGCGTGTTGTTGCTGCTTCAGTTGCTGTTGCAGTATCTTGTTGCTGCTATAGTTGCAGCTTCAGTGTCTTGTTGCTGCTTTAGTTGCTGTTTCAGTATCATGTTGCTGCTTTAGTTGCAGCTGCAGTATCTTGTTGTTGCTTTAGTTGCTGTTTCAGTGTCATGTTGCTGCTTTAGTTGCAGCTGCAGTATCTTGTTGTTGCTTTAGTTGCTGTTTCAGTGTCTTGTTGCTTTAGTTGCTGTTTCACTGTGTTGTTGCTGCTGCTGTTACTGTTTAGTGTCTTGTTGTTGCTTCAGTTGCAGCCTCAGTGTCTTGTTGCTGCTTCAGTTGCTGTGTGAGTAAATAGCTGTGAGGTTTAATCCAGGTTTTTGGAGCAGATGCGGATGTTCTGTGAGTCTTCAGCGATGCGTTACAGCCACCAAACCGTTGTCTGCTTTCAGTTTGTGGTTGGAAGCCGTTTGTTTTCTCCCCCCTCACGCCTCGCCGATGCTTCTTCCTCAGAGCAAATCGACGGCCTGCAGCACAACCTGACCCTGGCCGTCCACCAGGTGGACTCCTCGTCCAGTCTGCGGGCGGCGGCCCACAGCCAGATGCTGGCGGCTCAGACCGAGACCAAGGCGTGCCAGTCCACCCAGCAGTACCTGGAGAAGCAGCTGTGAGTCCCATCTGAGCCCCCCCGCCCCCCCCCCCCCCCCCCCCCCCCCCCCCCGCCCTGTCTGCAGCTGTTTCTGTGTGTGTGTTTGCAGGCAGAAGTGTAAAGTGGTGGAATCGAAGGCCCCGGAGCAGACGCAGCAGGCCGGCTCCTCCCCGGCCCCCTCCACCGACGCCGCCCCCCGCCTGGCTGTTGACCCCCTGCTCAATCTGCTGACTCTGCTGGTCTGCGGCAGCCTGCGTCTCATAACCTGTGAGTCCCGGTCCCATTATTGCTCACACAGGACGCTGGGCCACATCTGGGCCACAACATAAGCATCCCTGAGCTCTAAAACTCTGATTTACACCCTTAAGAATGACACTGGTAGCAGTTCATTCTACCACCCGTTACTCATTCCTAGACACAGGGTGAGTTCTTTTCTACTTTCTAAACACCAGAGGGATACTTCCTGTCTGGGACAGCTGCTTCCAGCTGTGTGTGGTAGCTCAGGTGTGTTTGGGCGCGTCATCGGAGCAGGGATCAGACCGCTCGGTTTCTCTTTGTTCAGAAACAGAATAAAACCAGCAGAGACAAAAGTCACTTAGAGGCTGAATGAGGCCTAAAGAGGTCCAGACCTTATAGGAGGAGCAGAATCAGCTGTTTGTAAGGTCACGAAACACAAAAGGGAAGAGAGAGATGGATGGAGAATTAGATCCGACCTGTTCAGGCTCCAGCAAACATATCCTTCAGCCAGATGAAGATCCGAACATCACTGTGTGAGAGGGACACACAACAAAGGCTCATGTTTTGCTGTCTTTTTATGTCTTTCTGTGTGATTCCTGTGTCCCTTTCATTCCTCTTTTGGTGTTATTTCTGTTCTTTTTGTGTCTTTCTGGCTGATATTTTGTTCTTTTTGAGTCTTCTCTTTTTGTCTTCCCTTTGTTTGTATTTTGATAATTGATGTCTTTTGTCTATTTTGGAGTTTCTTTCTTAGCCTTTTTGGCTTTTTTTTTTTTGTTCCTTTTGTGTCTCTTCTGAGTCCTTACATTTTTTTGTCTTCTTTGTGTATTTTTGTTTTGTGTTTTCTCTTTTGCCATTTCTGTGTAATCATTTTTTCCGGCTATTTTTTTGTCTCATTTTGTTCAGGCTAATTTTTGTCATTTGTGTGATTTTTCTTTTTTTGGGTGGTCGGTTATGGTCTTTTTGGCTACTTTGTGTCTTGTTTTCCTCTTCTTGAGTTTATTTAGTCATTTTTGTGCATTTTAGGGTAATTGTTCAACCCCCATTGTGTCTCTCTTCTGATGCTCTCTTCTCTTTTTGGGTTTTTGCCCATGTTTGTGTCTTTTTTCTTATTGTGTGTCTTCTGTTCTTCTGCCCGGCTTCATCCTTTAAGCAGATGATCCCTAAAGCTGAAATGGGAACGCTAAATTAAACACCTGATTTAAACCCACTTTGAACAAGTTGAGGGAGAAATTTACAGAGACTTCATCTGAATTATCCATAAGATTATGGAGGACACTCCATAATCTTAAGGACAATTCAGATTGCATATTAAAACCAGAGGGAGCTCTGGAACTTCACAAACATTGAACTCTTTGGGCTTCATTTAAAGGCTGAGAAGTGGTAAACAACTTTAGCGTTGGCGCAACATTTTTCATCTCTAACAGCCAAATATTTCTGTGTGATGACACATAAATCAATTCTTGGATCTGCACGAAGTTTACGCAACATCAGCTGTGTCAGCAGTAATCTGATGATTGTCAGAGTCGGTTAAATAATTCAGGATGTTCTTCGGTTTGTGCCCATATGAATCAGCTTGTGAGACACTTATAAGTTCAGAACTTCATATTATTTCTGAAAATGAATTGATCTGACCGAGTGCCACTGTAATCCTCCTTTATATGAAGAAACACTGGTATTTCAGAGGACCCATGTAGGACCGGGATGAGTTTGGGCCTCAGAAGTGGAGGGGCAGCAGCTCCACCTGCTGGTGGAAGCAGCTCACTGCATGCCGGAAAAGAAAACCATAGTTACCAAGATATAGATTTATCAAACACCTTTAATAGTTTTTATTTGTTGTGTTACAAAATGTGAATATATTCACATTGAAAATATCTGGTTAAAATAAAAGGAACAGTACACCAAAACACTTTGGTGTACTTTCCTGGAATGTTTATACCTTATTTCTTCTGACTTGGGGCTGCATAGTGATCTTCTCCCCATCATTCAGGCGGATAGAAATCAGAATTCAGCTTTAGATTTTCAGTGTTTCAGGAAAGATTATTTAGATCATTCCATTCGCTGATTCAATCACATTCCACTATAACTGCTATTCATTTTGCTGCCAAATGACTAAATGTTCGGCTGAACCACTTGAAACGGCAACGGGCTTAAAAAGTCTCTAAAGAGTGCTGGTTTCTGGCTGTTTTTTAGGAGCTGGGGGCGGTGGGACGTGGCGCTGACAGCGAACATGGCGCTCCGGGACCCTGGCCGGACACAGACTGCTGTACAAACCCTCCACCAGCCCGCCGAGAGGCCCCGACCGAGCCGCCGATGGACGCTTGGACACAGACTTTGCTTTCGACCGCCCAGCTGAGACGTTTACTGACCGTTGGACTGTCTGGTTTCGCAGCGTGTGAACCCACTTTTTCTGCTGATTGCGCTGCTTTTTTGGGGGGGGGGGCTTTTTCTCTTCACAGCTTGGGGCTTTCGGCACCGCAGCGGAGCGACCACTCGACTTTTAGAGGCTTTTATCAGATGCTGGGCTAAAAGGGGGAAAAGGGGGCTCAGGGTGGATGTATTCATTTGAATAATAAACCTGAGAAGTTTCTACAACAGGTGTTTTCTTGTCTCAAAATGAACCTGTCAAAAGTGTCCTAGAAAGCTAAAATCTTTTATTATTACCCTTTAAGTGGACCATTTTGAGGTGTTTTGGAGCTCTGTGAGTCAGGATTTTGTCTGAAGATCCATAATTAAGCTTTTCCTTCATACCTGAAACCCGCCAGTTCTATTTAGAGTTCTATCAAAGTCATAGGACACCGTTTTATTTCAGAATTCAGACAGAAAATGACATATGTGAACATTAATGAGTGATGGGGCCCGTCTGGATATGTCCTGAACATGGCCGCCATCTTTAAAGCCGCCATATTGGATCGGGTAGGGTGTTTTTCAATGGAAAGGTGGTCATGTAGCAGAACAAAGAAATAGATTGAAGTAATCAGATTAACAAAATATTTTATCTATGGTACACCCTGTTCTAATATAAAACTCTTCAGACTAAATGTCATTTCAGTATCCAATCATAGCTGCAGACACTGTAAACACTGATGTCAAAGCAGTCACACACAGAGAATGATGGAACTCTCTTTTGTAGCCTCCCAGCATTACAAGAACAGACACAATCCCCACAAAAATGCCAGTTAATGCCTTCCACTAAACATTTAGTCCACAAGAAGTCTGACATCCAGTAAGACACAAAGTTGAAAATGGTCCCTCCAGTTTGAAACAGGTTTTAGTGTATATTTTCCACTTATTTTCTGTCCTAACATACTTTTTTTTTTGTGGTGAATACTGCTCTCACAACTACAAAAAGATCTCGACCACCTTTTAGTTGTTTTTGTGTCTTGTGGTTTTTCTGTGGAATTTGAGGTAACCAGAGAGAGCTTGAATGAGGAAAAATGCGCATACAGTCGGGGGGGGGAGTTTAAAAAAGACTTTATTTTTCCTGGGTTGGATCACAGAGACAGTTGGATCCGAGCTCTACAGACACTGGAGGAGGGTGAAGTTGCACACCGTCCCTCTGGGACATCCACACAGCTTCCCAACCCTCGAACCTTTGCGCAGCGCACACTGCTCACCTGCATCGCACTGACACACACACACACAGGTGAGCTTCAGCTCTCAAACATCCGACAAACGCACGGCTCTGAGGGCTTACGGGTGGCAGCCAGCCGAGCTTCTTCTCCGACGACGGCAGCTGGTTGTTCCTCAGCTTTTCCAGAACTTCCTGCAGCGCTTCGATCTGGGGGCCCAACAGACGGCGTGAGGCAGGAAAACTGGACCGCTCACTGTAAATGGCTCCGGTTTTATTCAGGAAAAGGCAGGACTCACCAGCTCCTCCTGTTGTGTCTTGATGGCTTGGTACTCCAGGGATCGCTCCTCTCTCTGCTCCTCGCCGCTGCCCAAAGCCACCAGCAGCCAGCAGGAGGCTCCCAGCAGCAGCATCCTGCCGCTGACCATGGCGATGAAACCTCAAACCGGGCGGTGACGGCTGCTCTGACCGACTGAAGGACGCTGGGCTCCAGCAGCAGACCCCGGCCGGCCGGCAGCGGCCTGAGCTTTATGCCCCCCCGGCTGTGACGCCACCGGGGCCTGTATTTGCTCGGTCAGCCAGACAATCAGGCGGCTTCACCTCCGGGGTGGACAGCAGAAATGACCTCTGCTCTGTCAAACAGGACGCCACGGAGAGGCTTTAACCTCTGATTAAACATTTCCAATGGACAAAGACCATGAAAGAAGCCGGGAGCCCTCTTCTCTTTCAGTTAGAGGTTTTACATGTCAGGACATCATATGAATCAAAACCATTTGCTACATAGACGACTTATGCGTCCATTTACTGGTCACTGGTGGTGTTTCACCCTCTCTGGTGGTTTGGTGGTTTATTCCCACATTGTTGCCATAAAGGGAAGTTGTGAATCAACAAAAATGAAGTTACTTTCCTTCTTTAGAAGTTTAAAAGAGGTTTTAATAACACTTCCACTACCTGGTTAAGAGTGACTCTTTGGGCAAAAATGAAAATTAGTTGGATTTAGTGAGAATTGTACCCGTAAGGGCTTGGTTGTGTGTTAGGGAAGTTTCCCTTTAAGAAAACGGGCTGACAGGAAGCTGCGAATGTTTGGGGTCTCCGTGAGTCGCCGTTTACGTCAAAGCACATAAGAAGCTCTAATATCCGACAAACGGAGCCAAACACTGAGGCCCGATGGGGGAAAAACAAATCTTTTCCTCTGGGTTTGACCCAAACCCTTTAAATATGGATAATTGCTTTGTCCATGAAAACACACGAATTCAATGACGTCATCCATCTTTCTTTTTAATAACAAAATAATCTTCTTTCCAAACATTTCATGTTCTGCGCCTCAACATTTGGAGATCTGAGACCAAACAACAGTTTTAGTTACAAACTGAACACAAAAACACTCCGGCACTCTCGCCAAGTACCGCAGCTCTGCCAAGAAAATACTGGGCTATAACAAATGAAATTCCTAAAAAGATTTAAAACAAAATGTGCAAACAAACGCTGAATTTTCCCTGCAGCATCTCTCAGGCTCTGCAGCAGAAAGAGAAGAGAAACGTTTAAATATGATGCCCTAAACTCCAGTCGCACAGTGAAGAGCAGCGGGTTTACACAGAGAAACAAAGGGAACATTTTAATGGGAATCAGTGGTTTTGTTGGCTGAGGAAGGCACTGAGGCTTCAACTGAGATGGATTATTTTCCAGAAAGCAACAAATAACCGTCCCCAGGACAGTTTTAGGAATACTTTTGAAAGCCACTAAACTTTGTTTCGGTCTTTTGATATTTAGTTTAAAAAATGTTAACTTGTCGCGTTATCTGCTACATAAACCCGTTTAGTTTTTTTGATCCGATTGTTAAAACATTTTCCAGAATAATCAATGTAAAAGTAAATAATCTGAGACTCTGAGGAGGTTCCAGACATGCCGTTCACATCATCGTTTTCACTGGAAATGTTCTTTAAATACAGAAAATTGTGCGCAGGTATGGTTTCTAATATGTCCTGTGTCAATTTCTGTTTTACTGATTTTTTATCCACATGAAGTCTGCCATTAAAAAAGTGTATAGATTAACAAAGATTCTAATCAAAACAAGTTAAAAAGTGCGCTCTACGACATAATTCCTTTCAAAAGGAGCTAAAAGGTTAAGCTGCAGCTTAACTGCCATTAAAACAGAGGTTCTGTTGGACAACAGCTGCACCTTTGAAAGTGTGCGTTTTTACCTATACATGCATGCGTGTTCAGCGTGGGTTTTTGACTTCATCTTTCCGGGTCGACTTGAAAAGCTGCTGAGTCTGAAAAACATGGCGACAAACGCCCATGTGACCAAACGTACACAAGGCCGACGAGCAAAGACGGAGGAGCTACTGACCATGTAGCTGCCGGTGTGGAAGCCGCACATGTACCACTGCATCAACATGGAGGTCATGTTGCCCACGTCAGGGGGGCCGGTGGCCTCTTTACCACAGGAGGCCCAGACAGGAGGAGGAGGAGGAGGGAGGAAGGACACAGGCTCCTGAGGGGGAAGACAAACACTGGGACATCAGCAGAGGAGATGAAATCAGAAACAACCAGATGGAACATTCAATAACTGCCGCTCTCCTCTAAAAGTAGCTGCTATTCCTTTTTTGTCCAGGAGGCGGCGATGTTTCAGAAAGCACAGCAAACAGCAGATGTGAGTCCACCCAGCCCAGAGATATCAAACCTCCTCCAGAGTCAAAAGCTTTTTATGATGACTTTAAAGCACCACATGTGTTGGTCTGCATTTAATCACACTGATATCCTCTGATTGACTTAGGTTTTTTAATAAGGAAATACGTCAGTTAAATGTATGTTTTTCTTTACCTTTAACAATATGAGTGTTTTTTTGTATTATTTTCAATTTTACTTAATAGATTGCTTTTAATTTACTTTTACTTGTTATTGACCATCATTTGAGTCCTGTTCCCCGGTAAATCGTCTTTGTATTCTGTGAGGATTATACTGCAGATTGCATATGAAACAAAACAATGAAATAAAAGCCCTGACTGAATTTTTCTGAAATCTTAAGGGAAAGAGTCTGATTTTGAGCTCCGCTTTACCGACGTGCTCATCTGAGTCGAGAAAGGAGGGAAGAGAGGGAAGCTGTAATCGGTGGGTTTCTCTGCTCCATCTCTCTGCTGGTTTCCTCTACTCTTTTCTGCCTCCTTCTCTTTGCTCTGACTCTCGGGTTTTTCTCTGACCTGCAGCAAATTGTGGGGGAGCAAATCTTCAACGTGTCAGAGAGAGGTGCGGCAGTCTATATCCGAGTCCTTTAAACCATCTGAGCCTGACTCGATGGCGCTGAACTCACCGTGGGCGGGTTCTGCTGGTCGTCTTTCCATCCTGACCTCCTCTCTTTTCCCCTCTCCCCCATGCTCTCCTCCCTCCTCTTCCACTTCCATTCGTTAGTGCCAGCTGGACTGGGCCTCCAGCTGCTGGGCTGCTAGACCAACAGATATGTCTGGTTTACTTCTCATGGACGAGCTCGACATGGGGAGGTAACCTCACAGGTCCTCACACACAGAGTTACACATTCAGCCCGAGTTGATTATGTTTCCTCACAGAGAAGTCAGATGCTGAAGGTCCAAATAGGACTCATCTTTCAGATAACACGTCTCTAACAGTCTGTAGCTCATATACAGAAACACCAATTCTTCAGATCTCAACCTTGGACATGGTTCTGATGGGCCCGTGGAGCTCGTTGGGGTTCAGGAGGTCGCTGATATCGTGTTCCTCCTCATTGTTGTAATCGTCATAGCGGACGCGGCAGCGCTGACCTTTGACCCACAGAACTATGGCGGGATAAACCAGGCCGTCCACCGAATACACCGCCCGGCACCGAGAGCCGGGTTTCCATTCCTGAAAAGGATGCCCTGTCATGAGCTTTGTGCATTCACAGGTTTTAAGAAACAATAAAAAACGGCATTTAAACTATAAACCAGGGTGTGAGTCATTAGGAAATCTGTTTTTATGGATGATTAAACCACTTGCTTTACACGACCTGAAGCTGGGAGGTTCGATTCTGCGGAGCGGCTTCTGGACTCTGGAGCGTGCTCAGATCCATGTCCTCCTCGTTGCCGTAGCTACTGAAACGGACTCTGCAGCGCTGGCCGTCCAGCGCCACCAATGTGGCCGGGTAAACCTGGCCGTCCTCTGACCACACGGCCCGACATCGATCTCCCACCGCCCACTGGGGGAGGGACAGAGCAACCCTGATGAGGCACTTTCCCCGCTGCTGCCATGATTGGTCAGCTGACCGCAGTCTTAACCAGGTGGTTAAATGCATCACAGGGGTAAAAATCAGCCCTACAGGAGGCAGAACAAACCAGCTCTTTATTTAGACCGTCTCTGCGTTCTCACCTTTGACTCTGTGCTGGAGTTGTTGCCGTCGGTGGGTAGGCAGGCTGTCTGTCCGTCACCCTCTTTACCATCATCATCCAGGTTAGGCCTTATATCAGCCCCCTCACAGGCCACAGCTTGTGGGACCTCGACACCCTGCGCACACACAAAACTAAACTCATCTTTTATTCTACAGCGAAATCAGCCCAAAGGGACTCCACTGGGGTAAATATAGATTTTTTCAGTTTTTGACAACATTCTGCTCTTTTAAACCAACAGATCTTAACGAGTGTATCATTCCACTCCCAAGAATGAGTTTTGTGTCCTTAATGAACAGCGTTGTGTTCCTCTAATGGTTAATACTCCTGTATGAAGAAGCTCTTTACCCAAATGATATTTTTAACACAAAAACAAAGTTGTTACATGCATTTTTAAATATACTGTTTTGATAAAAAATAGGAAAACAATACATAGGACATAATTATTTCTGATCTCGATCTCTCGATCCTGAACAGAAAATATGGTTTTAAAAGTTGACTTTTCTGTTTGCCTTCAGAATGACTGATGGCAGAAGGCTTAAAGGCAAGAAGAGCTGCTATGAAGCCATTACTTAGGCCTGCAAACTCATGGGGGAGCAAAGTCAAAGTTCATGTGGGATTTAGGAGACTTAAAGACTGATCACACAAAAGTTTCATCCAATGCAAGTCTGTGGGGACAGATAAAACTTTGTGGGACTTAACAAGAAATACTGTCAGGAAGGTGAAAACAACAATGAGAAGAATGGAAGCACAAGACCAAAGACATTAAGTTAAAGGGTTATTTTTGAGAGAATATAGCAGCTTCACTTCATTAGTTAACTAATGAATAACTATCATTTTAGTTTTAGCATGTTTCCATAAAAGGATGTGCCCTTGTATTAATACCAGGATGTCTCATTTTTTTTAAAGCTCAATACATCAGCAAGGTTTTAGCTTTAGACCCCTCTAACTTAGTCCGAGGGGTCACGTGATATCCGGCTTTGTCTATGGAAAGTGAAAATTGGAGGTCAGATCACCATGGCAACATCAATGCCAGACACATACGGTTCCGCCATCTTTACGTCCCAATTTAGCTATTTAAATACTTCAAACAACAACAACAACAAAAACTTTTACACACTCCTGAACATGACGTGTTAAATAATTTATATTTTGTCCTGTTAAAATATATTTAGGGCGTTCAGGACCATTTAAAATAAAAAGACTAATACGTTAAACAAACCGGGGGTGTTTCTGGTCCAGTTTAAAAATATTTTACCTCCGAGTTTTGGGCTTCAACAGCAGCCGTGATGGCCTCCACCTATGGCGAGATTTTTAAAAAGAAAAATTTATATTTAAATCTTCCATAAACTGGTCAAATTCAAATGGACACAGAATTCTGCTAAGTAACGGTAACCTGTCAATAACGCCTGTTTTTAATCAACCTGGCCTAACCGCTAGCCAGTTGTCAGGTAATTAGTCGCTTCCACGATGTATGTTTTCTCCGGAAAAACTGGTTATAAAATAGGAAACACGAACCGGCTCCAAGACTCCGTTAAGAGCACCGTTTTCTGTCACTTGAGCCATGGCTGTTATTGAGTAAAAAAGATCCTTTTTTCACACTGGCACAAAGTTTTAATCGACCACACCTGTCAAGGTGGATTGCTTTGATGAAGACCTTCCGGTTAGCAGTGCCCTTCAATATAAGGAGAGCTTTCTGTTGTAAGCTAGTAAAAAAGTCTACCGATTCCAGTTGTGCATCAATGAATGCTTTAATCTTCAGTTTAAGGCTTTAACGGACTCTAGCGACCCTGTAGTGTTCCGAAATCTGTAAGTTCTGCTTGTATTTATAGGGTGAAATCAAACTTAAGGGTTATTTATACAAGTTGAGTTAACTTAATAAACATATTTAAATTACTTAATGTTTAGGGTTGTTTTGCAATTAAGATAAACGACTAGGCCACTTTAAAAGAAAAATAATTAAATTAAAGTTTATTTTTCACATAAATTACAAGTTCCAGCATCTTTCAAGCATTGAATGGGTAATACATTGATTAGACCAAGTTTTGACAGAGTAAGTCAATGTTATGGGTCTGGAGCTGTCTGGAAAATGTATCCAGTGTTAAATGTACATGTCTGTATGTATAAAACGGAAGCAAAATAATGTTTTCTATGTTATATGAATAATTTTAGTCACTGTCAGGCATGCAGCCACGACTCAAAAATAAAAAAACTGAGGATTTTGTCTGTCCCCATTATTGATGATTTTCCTGTTTATTGTCTTTGCAGCTCAGTGTCTGGACTGTAGAGGAACTTGGTGAATTAATCTTACAGGCCGAGTACACAAATAGATAATAAATAACACCGGCTGTGTATTCTGGGAGGCATGAGGTCCAGACTGAGGGGGAGAAATTGGTGAGATGAAGGATGTGAGAGATGGAAATCACTTGTTAATGAGACGACTGGAAGCTGAGAGTTGCAGGTAAGCTAGCAGACTTAAGAGAGCAGAGTATTACCCAGCAGGAGAGTTCACACTTATAATTAAAGGTTCATTGGCCAGTTTGTGGATTCTGATGGTGGTTCGGTTCACTTTTCCAAAAGAAAAGAAACATTGTACCCAAAGATGTTTCTGATCTTTATCTTTTTGTAATATAATGTACAAATCTTTATTTATCGATACATAAACATACAGTTTAACACTTAAACTATAATAAATAAATAAATGTAAATATTTTTTTCACCTTTGAAGGTGGGGTTTGAACTAAAACTATCTATAAACTTTCATTTTAGACCTAGATAAATGCTTGTTTTACACTTAATCTAAATCCTTATCAACATTACATCTCTCAAAGTTAGCTTTTTAAATGTTTTCACAAACATACTTGTTAAATTTACAGATTTTAGTTAGAATTTGGTTTTGCATCGAAACTCGTCAAAAATGTGCATCTCTAATCTAAAGTCTGATATTCTTGTTTTTAAAAAAAACAAAAATAATATCTAAAGGCTGAAATTATGATGATAAGACAACTAGAAGAGGCTAGACTTTGAGTTATGAGACATATTTGTTTAAGTGTATTTTCTTTTTTTTTACTTTAAAATATCCAAATAATTGAATGCAAAAGTTGTTCTCTTTTACTTTTATTTTAACCAAGAAATATGTCTTCAAATATGACTTTAAAGCTAGAAAAACTCTGGATAATTGTTTTCTATGCCCACAAAATGTGCATAACTTAAGATTTTGGAGTATTTACAGACAAAACCTTAAGATAATCTGTTATCATTGACTCAAACCCCTAAAGGTTTCTACTGCTCATTGTAGCCGCTGATGCTTTGTCAATGAGGTCATGTGATCAGGAGTTTCACAAAAACCCCGAAGGCTCAAATAACTGATTTGATCAGCAGAGCTTCAGAGTCATGAATTAACAGCTCTGATTGGCTGTGGATGAGCCCCATAGGCAGCAGATCAGTGATCATTCACTCAGTACGTCTTTAGATCCTAAAGACTCCTTCATTAACTGTTTGAGAGACCTCTTTTTTGTCCTGATGGATAATTGATCACTTTTTTTCTTTTTTTTCTTCTTTTTAAATGAAAAATGTGTTGGCCATTCACGTCTAACATCAGATAGTTGCGTGATCAAATCAATCACATTATTAATATATTCAGTCTAATTCTAACTTATTTAAATTTTAAAAAAGAAAGAAAGAAAGTTTTAAATCTAATGGTGTTTTAGAGGGATTTGGAAGAAAATTGTTCAAGCGGATGAGAATAAATCAATTTACCCCCTCTTTGTCACATATCTGTACTTTTCTTAAGATCTTAAAAACTTAATTGAACTTGTTGGGATATCAGCTGGTTGAGCTGCTGAGCTTCTCTTAGAAAGAATATTTCAAACCTCAACAACTGAGTTTCCTGCCTAAACATAGGCTAAATGAAATACCCAAATATATTAAGTATTTTCTGTTTGAGGTTTAAGTATAGCTTGTAATGTAAAAAAAAAAGAAAAGATATGTGTTAAAGTTGAAGACACTGAATCCCTTCAATGTAAAAAAGTTGAAAATATCCTAAGGTTTAATAAAATAAAACAAAGCAAAAGTCAATATGTAATTAAACAGAAAGATAAAGAGAAAATTTGGGACAATTTAGTAGAAAATAAGAAATCATCAAAGAAAAATGTATGATGTCCACACAGACTTTCAAAGAGAAACAGAAAAGTAACACATCTTTTACTGACTTGAATAAATTATTACAATATTGTCTTATTTAAAGTAACAAACAGAAAATGTCTTCTTTTTTTTTCTTTATAGACCCACAAACACTATGAAATCCATGAAATCCTTTTAGAGACTTTTGGGGATGAATTTGCACTGAGTTAAGAGTTTAATTTAAACTGGAGGTTTATTCACTGTATTAGAAGTGATGAGCTCACATGTGAAAGTTTTTATTTGATAATTGACCAGCAGGGGGCGCAGTCACACCGCACGATCTGCAGTCCAGCAGCAGAAAAATCTCTACTAATCAGAATATTCACTATTTAAAGCACACCTGCAAAAATGTAACCGGTTTTATCTCTCAAAATAGCGTTAGGTTGTTTTTTGCATTAATGAATCCAAAAAACAAACAAAAAACAACTCGATTGGCTCAGTTTATTTGTATTTGCAGCTCCAAACTGCAACTTTTCATATTAAGGTGCACATCCTGATTAAATCTGCCTAAAATGAAATACCGACTCCCAGTGACTCATCGGGTAACCTCTCTGAATGCTGACTGCACGCATCAGCCACCCCAGTTGAAAAGAGGATCTGTTTTTTTACTTCTAAATGTGAAAGTTCATGTTCTTGGTGTCCTTATCACCACTGGAAAAGCCCCATGATCCTAATTTCTGCTTATTTTTTCAGAATAAACTCTCTTTTTTCAGCTATATATCAGCCTTATTTTTAAAAAACATCTTAATTACCGGCATAAGAAACAAGTATGTCTGAAGAATGCTTCAAACTTGTTGGTTTCATAGACTCGTGTCCATTAAAAATCCTTCAGTGCTGATTTGAAAGGCTCCAGATCGTTTATTCAATCCTTTCAGATTCAGTCAAAACTGAGAATCCTCATTAGATTCATGTATATGGTGATGTTTTATCCAGTTTCAGTCTCCCTGATGGAGTATTTCTGTTGAAGTTCATGTTTGAGCAGTTTCTTTAGATGCTGATGAGCTCCAAATCCTATCAAAAGCTCATTCATCTTAAAGGGATTTGACCTTTAGAGCCCCAAAACGTCTGAGGCTCCCTGCATGGCAGAGCAACAAACAACCTCTAATAAGGAACGAAACTCCTGTCAAAACCCCCCGGAACCACGCAAACCCCTGAAGAGCTTTCAGAATAATCAGGACTGTGGGACAGCCCCCGCCTCCTGTTTGTGGAACCGGCTCTGCAGAGACACGTCCCGGACGGTTTCGTGGCTGCACCGACGCCATGGCGCCGCTGGGGGGCGGGGGCTCTGGAACCTGCTGTAGGTCGAGGGGTGCCCGTTAGACAGACCCAGTTGCTCAAACTGGAGATTTTCGTTGTGATTGTGTTTGTTTTTTTGTAACGGGCTGCATCCTGCAACACCTCTGATCCCCTGATGTTTTTTTGGGGGAAGAGGCGTGCAGGAGTTTGCAGAAAGTTGTCAGGAAAAAAAATCAAACAAAACACAATAGCACTTCCACGCCTTTCGTGGAAAGCAAGAGAAAACGCAGCGCTTTATTTCCTTCTCATCCCCCGTCTTGCACAACCTGCTGCAGGCCGCCGTTACACAACCCCCAGAGCGCGCGCTGCCACGGGGCTGGTCAGCTGCTCCAGCCTCTCCTCAGTTTCCTTTTCATATCACTGTCCCCGGGATTCCACGCCATGGCCTCAGGTGAGGGGGCGTGGGGGGGGGGGGGGGTCGATGGGCGCTCTGCAGCCTCGAGGCTGCCGCAGGGAGGAGGAAACTCTGGAAATTCCTCTACTCTGAAAGCAAAAAACTCCCAGCAAACAAATTGGGGAGAGCGCGCCGAGAGGAGGAGGAGGAAGAGGATGCAAATCGAGCGGGGGATTCTCCGAAACCACCCACGTGGGCTCGCCGGTATCTGCCGCGCGCTCAGCCAATAGGCGCGCAGCAGGGAAAAGCTTTTGATAGCGTTGGGCCAATCAGAGACAGAGTGGCCTGGCGCGGAACACCCACAGAAGATTGGGCTTTAAATAAGAGGAGTTTCGGCTCTGAGAGGCACAGAGAGCTCTACTCACGCACGGAACTGACTGAGAAGCAAACGGACGCCGGCAGGACTCTATACCGATCTGGATTACCGCTTGTTGGGACTTTATTTCTGGACTTTTTACGGACAGTCGCCTCCCAGTGAGCGCTGTGGATATTTGTTCTTATCCTGGATCTTGTGGATTACTTTACTGACTTCAGTATGACCCTCGAAGAGGTTGTTGGATCCAACAGCACCGACAAAAAGTAAGTTTTTGCTCGCTATAATACGCACAAATGACACCGGGGACACTTAGTTCTCGGGGCTCTTTGAACGCGTGGCGTGTGAACGGCGTGTGAATCCGTGCGTGGACGGTTTAGTCGTGCTTTTGCGTGCTCGCTGCACCGGTTTCGGTCCCGGTTCTAACCGCCTTCGTGTCTGTGCAGGATGGAGACGGTGACTCAGGCTCTGGAGGAGTTGCTGGTCGCGGCGCAGCGGCAGGACGGACTCACGGTGGGAGTCTACGAGTCTGCCAAACTCATGAATGTGTAAGTAGAAGTTTTTTTTTGCTTTTCTATAACTTCCCCACTAAAGAGACTTGAAAGCACCAGGCGTGAGACGCTCACCCTCTTGTTCCCCTCTTGTCGTGCGCAGAGATCCGGACAGCGTGGTTCTGTGCGTCCTCGCCACGGACGAGGAGGACGAGGATGACATCGCGCTGCAGATCCACTTCACGCTGCTGCAGGCCTTCTGCTGCGACAACGACATCAACATCCTGCGGGTGTCCGGCATGAGGCGGCTGGCCCAGCTGCTCGGAGAGGACACCGAGGACAGCAACGGCAACGAGCCCCGGGACCTGCACTGCATCCTGGTCACTGTAAGTGTCCTTTTCTTCCCCCCAAAAAACGCTTGTGCAGTTGATTTAGCAGGGATTGCATGAGTGAAATACGTGTTTAGTCTAACCGTCCCGTGCTCCGCAGAACCCGCCGGTGCAGCCGCTGCAGTGCCAGGCTCTGAAGGAGGTCAGCAGCTTCTGCGAGGAGAGCCGCTGCACCAACCAGTGGGTGCCCTGCCTGCAGCTGCAGGACCGCTGAGCCCAAACCAGCCGACCCCAACCGAGTCCGACCGCCGAGGAGCGGTGAGAAAGAGATGGAATCACCCAAACGGCCAGTCCTCCTCCGAGGAAGAGGAGGAACTGACGTTTGAGAGACGGGGCGGGACCAGAGCGAGTTCGCCTTCCTGCCGAGTGGATGGGTTGACCGGTCCGGTCCAGGCAGCGTGAGAGGTGTGGGGACTATTTGTCCCCGCCCGGCCGGCCGCCGGACCGGCCCTGCTGGGGGATGCGGGTCCCGGAGACGCACAGAGGGAGACTTTTTTTTTGCTGAGTGACGCAAATCTGAGCGTCACCAACAGAACTGAAGGGACTGAGGATCTGCTGGTGACCGAGCTGCAGGTGTTCTGCTCACCTGTGCACGTGCATATGGACTTTGAACAATCATTAGCCTGCTTTCTGTTACACACTGATGTCACGCCTGTTTATTTAAGTGAGAAGATTAATATATTGGTCAGAAGAAAGTCTACTTGTGAACTTTACCTGAATAAATTATTGACAGAAATGTGAGATTCCTGAGTGGTCCATCCATCTCTATGTGTGTGTGTGTGTATGTGTGTGTTGTTGTCCTCCTTATAGGGACCATGTTACCTGTCCACTATGTGAGGACACGTGTGCCATTTTTCTTTATGTAGTTATTAAGATTAACAAAATGCTCCAGCATTCTCTCCAACCAAACTCTGAATCTATATATAGATACATGTGTACATGTATACATGTGTAGTTGCTATTTTAATAATTTGATTTTAAACAAAGGTAACACACACATACTCAAAATGTACCCTTTGGCTACTCTTTATGATGACATCATAAGCCGGCAAATGTCATTCGGGTAACTCTTCAATGCACAGGAGGTCTGAAATGACACTATCCAAGTGGAGAATGTGGTGTCAAAGACTTCAGATTTTAATACACCTGCAGTTTAAAGATCAAACCATTGTGTTTTTTTGTTGTCAGAATAGTCATCCCTTTCCTTTTAACATTTTCTTAAAGTAATGCTGCATTTACTGTAAATCGAAAGCAGAAGCTCCTTAAAACAGTTTATGTTGGCTCAGCAGTATTTCACTGATCTGGGTCGGTTAGATGCTTTCGGTTGATGGGATTGGTCCAAAAGAGTGTCTTTGGCTTGACTGCAGACAGGGAAGCGTTGGTGATGATCATTTGTCAGTAGCCATTTTGCTGAGAAAAATGCCCAAAACAGTTCAATGGAACCCAATAATGTTCATTTCCCTGTGCAATCTTTATGAACTATCTAATATCTTTACCCTTAAATTCCACACCATCATATTGACCAAAAGCATCAATTGAAAACTGACTCCTGTCAGACTGTTGCTGTGAGAGGGTTGGAGTGCATCATCATGCTAAAGGCGTCTCAGTGAATGCACAGCCCTGCTGTCCACAGACTTCTGATGCTGCAGCTCTGCTTCAGGCTTCTCTGTGACTGTTGGATAAAAATGGATCAGCACAACGAGGAGTGTGTTGGTGGACGTTGTCTTCCCGCCTCGGTTCCCATGGAAACGCCTGAGCTGTGTGGAGGTTATTTCTGCCTGGTGAGATTTGAACCAACACAACTAAAGCTGCCTTGCATCTCAACGTGTTTTGTATCTGTTTTAACATAAAAGAGTCTTTTTACATTCAGAGAGGTAAAACAATGACAAATTGTCTTCTGAGTATAGCCTTTGGGGGGGTAAAATGGTACAACGTGTTGTGCTTGTGTTTTTCTGCTTCTGAAGACATGCCTGGGGGGGGTGTAAAATATGTCTGTAAACACAGAGAACACTGAGTTCTCCCAGTTGTCTGTTAGTGCGAACACTGGGCTCTAAACCCAAGGCTCAAACTGGACAAACAACACCAAGCTCTGCCCGTGATGTCATATCCTGATGTCACATCCTGCTCAAGGCGACGAGGACTCCACAGGACTGTTGGTTTTGGCTTCTGGCCCATCCCCGCTGAGGCGGAGCGGGGCCACGACTAATCTGACAATACGTCAAACTCCTACAGGTGACGGAGAACTTGGTTCAGCCAATCAGCTGCCAGAGAGTCCTCCAGGATCCCCCCGGTATCCCCTACCTTCAGAAATACCAACACAAAACTGATTAAATTGAACTGATATCTACAAGGAGACATTATAATGATGAACAGTATCTGAAGGAAAATAAAGAATGAATCCTCTCCACTTAAATGTCTGGGTGGGTTTTGGTTGTGTGCATACTCATATTGTCTGGAAACAAAAACAATACATGTGCCTAGATGTGTATGCTAAAAAATCCTGATATTTTACACCTGTCTTCATGCACAAATATGCTAACTGAAGTTGGAGGCTACAATGGTGCTAAAAGGTCACAAACTGGACTGATTTCTTAATAAGTTCAGCAACTTAAAGCTCCTGAATCGGAATATAACTAAACCGACAGTCTTTGAAACTTTGGACAGGATCTTCAGCAAACGCCGTCTGCTTTACATCAAATTTGCATCGGTTGGTTTGTTTACTTTGTCATTGTGAACTGCAGAATAGCTGTTTTGTTCTGTGTCATTGCGTTCACCCCCTGATGCTTAATGTGCCCCTCTCCTGATCAGCTAAATGCAATGTCCATTAGGATTGGACATTGCATTTAAGTTAATTCATTTCAATATGTCCAAGAGTTCACTTTTGGATTGAACTGAGTCACAGCTGTTCAGTGGGAGGATGAGTTGATCAGCCCCTGCGTAAGTGGTGGCAAGAAGAGAAAATTGAAGCAACAATCTATGAAATTGGAAAGAACACAGTTTTTAAACATTTCCTAATGTTTGAGTTGTTTAAAATAGGGAATATTTGCCTTCTTGAATCCATTTTTAGCAGCTGTTTGCTTAGCGCCCGATCAGAATTCCTCCCCCACTAACCTCAGAAACTCCCACACAAAGAGGTTAACATATTTCCTGGAGCAACGTCTTTAAGGCTCTCAGTTCAAACCTGAAAATTATTCAGCAGCGTGTCGGCAACAAGGTTCGTAACACATTCCACCTTTTGACGCAGATATTTGGCCCACGTCCGGATTGTTTTTGTTCAACCTGTCTCCGTCATGGAGACAGTGATGTGTACTTCCACTTGATTTCCCTTTAAGGAAAAAATTGGTAACTCTAAAATAAACTGTCAGAAGTATGTTAAAATTGTAACCAATAAATTCTTGATCGTGGATAAAAGGCAGCTTAGATGGGATTTCTTTTTTTAATCCTTTCAAATCTGCAAGCAGATCTGAACCAGCAGAAACATGAGAGGTGTGAATAAAGAATTCAGCCGTGCAAAACACAAAGTGAAAGTCTTTGGCAGCTGAGAGCCGCCCGTGCTAAGGTTAGGATGGTTGTCATGGATATCCAAACAGTGTGTTGTGATGAGGACACACTGTTCACACCCTGAACGCACAACCTACTGATCTGACGAGAGCTCTCATCAACATAACTTCAGTGTGTACAAACGCTGTGTCTTAGACATGAAGGAGGGAATGTTCCATCCTGTGATCGCTTAACACACCCAAAGGTGATCTCTGGGCGTGGGAACGGCTTCTATTTTAAGCAATCGCCGCTCCAGGTGACATGCTGTTGTCTTTATTAAACCTTTCCGGGTCTGTTTGACCACTTTCCTGCTCTGGGTGGCGTACAGCTGCAGACACGCCCCTGACAAGACATTTCCTGTCAAATTAAGAAACCGTCTTCATCCAGGACTTTGGCTCTGACTTTTGCATCCAATTAATGCTGGTCCTGGTTAGATATTTCATTTGTAACCTGCTGGTTATTATGAGGAACTTTTTTGACTAGGCATGATTTGATCTTCTTGATTTGCAACTTGTTAGCCCAAACTCGCTAGTCCTGGTTTGGGACTCGATTAGAGCCTTGCTGGTCTTAGGGTTAGACACATTTACATCCATTTTGGTCTTGCTTTAGGACACATACACATCTTTTTTGGTCACTAGGCCCCTGCTGGTCTTGACTTTATCCCTGATTTTCCAGCATTTTTCCTGTTGGTTTTGATGACAGCCAGAAACTTTGGGATAGTCAAAAGCTTTCCTTTAGTCCAGACAATACTGTGTTTTCTTTGTGGTCCTCGCCAGAGACGTGGCAGGTCTCCTGAGTCATTTGGGTTATTTTAGTCAATTGGGCCATTTTGGGGGAAACTTGATTCAACGGCTCCCTGTTTGTTTAGCTTTTTACGTCTTCTGCGTAGGCCCTGGTGATGACACAAAGCAAGCTGTCATTTAACGTTAGTAACAACATTTTCAGTGCTTCCATCAGATCCCATATGCCCTGTAATAGCAGCTATATATTTTTGGATCGGTGTAAAATCAGCCCAGCATATCATTGCAGCAGCTATTTCTGTTCTCAGAGGCAGCATCCATAAGCGGCGTGGAGGCTCTGCTCCCTCACTGCGTCACATCACCGTGGAAACAGATGGAGCACGCTGATTGGGCCTCCGGGCGAGCCGAGGCGGTCGGTGGGAACCGTAATCTGTGTTCGTCTGTTTCTGACAGCCTGAACTGAGTGGAGCGTCGCATCGTTACGTAGGGGGGATCCTGCTGCTGCGTCACTGACCATGTAAGGGCGCCTCAGGACCGGGGAGGTGAGTCAGGAGGAGGAGGAGACCACGGTGGAGGAAGCACAGACCAACGATGAGTATGTGAGAGGCAGCGATCCCTGCAGAAAAAGCAAGAAAAAAAAAGAGAAAGTACCAGATTTCTGGTGCTGAGCTCAGGTTTTTGCAGGCAGAATGAAGATTATGAAGCATTTAGATCAGTTCTCAGTTTTTCTGAGACTGCCACAGAGACCCACTGGTCTTATTAAGTGCTGCTGAAACCAACAAGCTCACGGCTGATCAACCAGCTTTTTGTCAAAATTAGGGCTCATATAGGGCTCATAAAGAAATTTATACAAAACCGGAGAAAATTACCAGACAAAAAATCCAAAGAACAGCCACTGGAAGGCCCACTTCCTATTTTCTCATTGACTTAACGTCTCACTGGAGTATTTCTAACCTCATTGTAATATCTTTTTTGGTATTTTAGTGTGTGTTGTATAATCTTTTATCATCAAATTTGCACCAAATTGTATCCTTTTCTTTTTCTTTCTGTTGAAAATTCTTTATGATTGTCTCTTTTGTCAAAAATTCTATCAATTTAATGAGATCTCGTATTGGATAGATTATCAAAGTTAGGCTCTGTGACCCTCTGAGGCCCCTTGTACACGTATACGTTTCTGAAGCTTGAGCTTGTTTGAATTTGTGCTGAAACAGATTTGACTCTCTGTTGTGTTTAAGCTGATTAATGAATTCTTACCTCATTAAAAGTGATGAGGGAATTAGACCTGTGAATATGATGCATCTTTGCACAGTTGTCTGAGCTAAAATCTGTCAGAAAACATTGTAATGGGCCCCCAGATAGTCCCCCACGTGTTAAGATTTCTCATAAAGACACGCGGGGAGTCCCTGAAGTGGGAGATCTGAACCTGAGTGGTTCTTGTTATCAGCATCTGCTCGGCTCGGTGT